AGAATTTACCTATTCTTTTTGTTCAGAAATGGGCCGAAATGGTGGCTCAGTGAGTAAGGCTCAACGAGGTCCGGAATTCGATATCTGTGTTTGCCGAGAAAGTACCTGAGGATTTCCCAGTGTGGTTACCCATTGTCAGGGTGCAGCAACGAGGGTCTCGAAAGAAACTGTTTAGTCCTTCGGATGGTACCAAAACCAAGTTCCCTTGTACACGTTGGCCTGCTCATAAAAGAACCTTGGCCATCTTCATTGACCTAGTTAGTACAGAACAGTTTGACGTTAACCCACATTGCATTTTATTTCTGGTCCAGAAATGGTAATGTGATCCGGTTTTACTTTGAAGACTATGCCTGGCAACCTTTTTTGGTACCATCTAGACAGATGGTATCATGGATTCACATTTGTCAATTATGAAAGTTCAAAGTGTAAAATGTATTTCAAAACAAGTTCTAAGTTTAAAAATAATAATTACAGAGATAATTTGAAATACATTTACGTACAGGTATCCCAAAAGCCAAGTCTCACGATTTCCTCTTTGCTAATGCAATGTCACAACCATCCACCTCATTGGAATTACTGTGACAATTGCAAATACTGTTTTTCATCAGCAATGGACATTAGCCAAAGCACAAGAAGAAACAGAAGATCTCAGCAGCGACAATGATGATGTCATTAAATCCTAGGACTTCCTAAAGCGAAGGACGAAATTGGTCGACATTACTTTTGTGATACCTAGTCGTAAATGCATTTCAAATTATCTTCGCAACGATTCTTTTTAAACTTTCAACTTGTTGTGAAATGGATCTGTGGATACCATATCTAGACTATACATTGCCATTTCTGAACGAATTGGTTATATCATAAATGGTTCTCACTCCGCTAAAAAGGTTCAAATCAAATACATAGGAGATGAAATTAAAATGCCTCATTATTGGTGTAATGTCTTCTAATCTGTGAGATCCAGTATAATCAATTGCAGATGACCTATTGTATTGTTTATGGGTGGAGGGTCGAGGGTCTAAGCCTGATATATTCTCTAAAGAATGTGCCATTTCTAGTACTATCACTGGCATCATTTTCAACATTAATTTTTGTTTTTTTTTCAAGTTCAGTGACTCTGAAAACCTTATAAAAGACATATTACAAGCTATATCAAACAGAAAATCGATCATTTTACGGAAATTTTGGCCGCCATTTTGAATATTCGCCATCTTGGATTTTTAAAACCCTTTGTTTTGGTTAATTTTAAGTTCAGTAACACTGAAAACCCTTTCATTTGGATATTACATGTCATATCAAACAGTGAAATGACTATTATCTGACAAATTGGCCATTTTAGCAAACTTTGGCCGCCATTTTGAATATCCGCCATCTTAGATTTGGGACACATATTAGAGATTATTTTTTATGATCAATGTTTCTAATATCTAGTAAATCACTTTAGTTGACCAAATAGGTAATTTGGCTTATATGGGTCTGAACAAGATTTGTTAGTAAACTTATGTACAGACATCATGAAAAAAAAACCCCGAAAATATTGCTTTTTTCAGATTAGTCTTTTATTTTGAAACTGATAGTATTGATTAAACAACATGTATCATATACCAGCAGATGCGGAATTGTATTATGAACATTTTGAGCCATATTATATAACGATAGATGAACCTGTTGAGGAGTTGTGGAGGTTTCCCTGGCTCGCACTATTTCAAATAAAAAAACAGCGGCCATTTTTAAAGATGGCCGCCAAACTGACATTTGGCAAAGTGACCCGGAAGTCCATCAACCAATTTTGGATACTTTAGACCTAAGGCTAACTGAAATTCATAAAAACTCCTAAAAAGTTTGCAAAATTTTAATCTCGTCGCCAGATGCGTGTATTCCCGTCACAGATTAACGTCGGTTTTCCTAGACTGGGATTCTCGGAAATCCACGCGGCCTGCCGGCTGGAGTCCAACACTGAAACTATTCAATTGTTTTTCAGATAACTAGTATCATTATGTATAACAATCGTTGTGAAAATAAATCGGAGAGATTTCGATTTGACAGTTTTTACGTATTTTTGAAACAGGTTTCAAAATGTGTTGGTTCTGTTATGCAAGATCATTTTCGACGTTCCAAAGTAAAAGTTCGGTGCTAAGACCACCTAAAGATAAATTTGAAATGTTCCTATTATTAATTAGAACAGGTTTCGCTTTAATTTTTATATTTTACGTTGCCATTTTATTGCTTTAAATCTTCCTAGTGCAAAAACGGTAAATTTCGCCTTTTGACCTCCAGGGTCACTAAGACTAAAGGTGAATTTAGCAAGTTTACATTTTTATTGAAAGTGTGATTACTTCCGATCATTTTCACCTTCATTTCATAATACAAGAATGACTGCGCATTCACTTCCAGTGCAAATGAACTCATTTGACTTTTGACCCCGAATATCTCGAAAACGCCCCAACGGCGGACTGATTACCACTCGGCATCGTATTCTACGCAAAATTTTACTCTAGAAAAGTTGGGTCTGGTTTTGTGCCCATTTCATGGCCCCCCCCCCCGCCCCCCGCGCTGAGCCTCCGGTCTAAAGAGGCAAAGACGGCTAGGCGTTGGGGGTTTTTTCTACAAATTTACTGACAAAATATTAACAATTGGGTGTTGGACATGGACCAATATATATACGTACAACACACAGAGACACAAAGAAAAAATGGGTATGGCTCTGCCCCTTGGGGTTGGGCAATCACCAAAAAACAATAGGGGTCATCCTTAGGGTATAAGAAATAGGTATGCGAACTTTCAAAAGTATCTGTTAAGAATTGCAGCATGTAGGTGAAACACAAGACACACAAACATTGGGCGTGGCTCTGTCCCATCTGATACCATTTCCCACATCCATATACATTGCTAATAATACATAACCTTAATATAACCCTTTTACAACGTCAGAATAATCTAATTTTGTATATAGATTCTTCCAACTATTCAGGCAAAATTTGGTATCCGGTTCATTCTGAGGCTGCAATAAATAGAACCCCCGTAAACTCTCATCTTTGGTACCCCCTTCGTTACCTTCGTTCATTGAAAATTCCTGGACGCCACTATTTTCATACGCCCAGTTTTAATGGTATGTTCACAGATGAAGAACGTATCGCCCCAACAGAACCACTGAGCTGCACATGCGACACGCAATAGCGCCATACACGTGGGAGGGGTTCACTGTCAAATTTGACACTTCAGGGAAGGGTTAATGAAAACTGCCGAATACTGGTTTATCCTATCCATGTTTGCTTTCCTGTGGTTTCTTGTATAAGATTTACTGTTTAGCGTAACTTTGCTTTAGTGTGTTACGGTTAATTTGATCGAGAGACGTTATCGTCGACGTCAGCGTCAACCGACAACACTGCAAGAATTGGTCATGGCACTGCAAGAGGAGTGGGTCAGATTTCCCCAAATTGTGATTGGACGGTTGATTAGGAGCATGCCACGACGAATTGCTGAATGTCTGAGGATTGGTGGAGTAATTACTCATTATTAAGACAAAAATCAAAATCGCCCATTTCCACTTTTGACAGTGTATCTCTTTGCGAGTGAAATGGGGCCGTCAGATAAGCCGCCTATATGAATTGTTCACGTTCATGTGTAGGCAATTGACCTGTTATTAACATACACTGATTACCTCTAATAAAAACAGCAGTGCATTTCCGCAGTTTTGTATTGTTTCTGAATATCCCCTACTTTTTTTGAAGAGTGTATTATTTGATCAAAAATCAAAGATCTTTCACAACATGTATCACACTATAGGGTTATTTTAGGTCTAAGAAAAGTGTTCTGTTTAATATAGAAATCATTACCTACATGATGTGTGACGAAAACTAGGGTAATGTAGTAGCTTGCATTACTCTGCTACTATCTTAGAGTAACTCACAGACATTTATGTCAGTATCCATTTCTGGAAAGTAGAGTACTATCGTCCAGTCATCTTGTGTACGGATTAGTCCAATTAAATAGAATAATGTTGACGTTAAACGGTGCCTATATGAAACACTTACCCAAAAATGGTAATTGTCCCGCCCTAATAAAAATGACGTATTACATTTTCCGTGTAGGAAAGAGCAGGTTTGATTTACCCTCAGACAATATTTTGGAGCTCGGTCGATCACCATACCTATAGCCTCCTCGGCTTAGAGGCTAGGGTGAACACATCATCCTAGCACGAACCTTGTGTAGAACTATCAAGAAGTATGCGGCTCTTGCCATGTTTAAGCCGTTCTGATCTGAGTTAGAAGGGATATTAAACTCAGACCGTGGATATTTTAATAACTCGAAAAGTACTATCATAACTTTGTAGTTTGCTGTATGTATTTAATTATATAAACTTAGTAACAACGGTGTTCCAGAGTCAGTTAATTGATGATTGAAATAATTGATCCCACAACGTGAAGTCGAAGAAAGGCCTAGAAGAAAGTGTCACATCTATAATGTCACATCTGTACCCCGTAGTGCCAAACATGTAGAGGTTTCTTATTACAATATTGTCAGCCATATAAAAATATATGTAACCTAAATAGTATTTCAAGGATAACAAGAGCAATGCTAAGACTGCATAATATGTCCACATTCCTGTTTTGATTGAAATGCAAGTTAATAAAATGAAGAGATAGAAATATGAAATGGCTGTAATATGGCAACCCTTGGTGAGGGGTGAGCCAAAATAAATAGGTTCCATGCACTGTTTGAAATGCATAATCATGCCCATGTGAAAAGTTGTTAAAAACCAATGTGATCATCAACATTAGTATACCTGTGCAATATTACCTACATTCACTTCGTTTTGTTGTGTTGTGAAATGTAGGGTATTTCTAATTACATGTAGTAGAGAAATATACAAAAAAGGTGGCGAAATAAACAAATCCCAATCGTGGTTGTCCCATTTTCACTATTTTTCAACATACATGTGTATCGTTCAAAGTTTTGTGCAGATGATCAAAGACACTGGGGTACAAGTAAAGAGAATAGATGTTTACATACTTTATTCATATTAGCTAAATGACAGAAAATAAACTTTAAATACACAACAGCTTTAAATGTAAATTAGGAAAATAAAGAATTATTATATTCTAGTGAATTAAATACTCAGTTATGTAAATAGAAATGAATACAATTGATTTACATCATATTACAAAGAAAGTAAGTTCTTTTTAGATAGATACAATCAAAAACAAGTCTCATGATATATCTAATTAATGTTTCTTCTTATTATTATTTCTTTTGAATTAGAAAATCCCAAACAAACACTCATAAAAAACGAAAAAAAAAAAGTACATGAAATGGATGACAAGAAAAGATACATTATGCAAGAGCTAAATTTGCCTATGGCAGGTCTTTCTTTAGGCCTGTAATGTTTTCTAAATTATTAATTAGACATTAATGAACTTATAGAGGCTATAATCAACTCTCGATGGCATCAGATTTCTCCGTTATTAAATAGATTAGAACAGTTCAGCCATATTTTGATTTAAGCTAAAAATGGAGGAGCGAGATTTAGCTTCGAACAAACAGTACGGAGGTTAAAATTATTGCACATGTCTTGTCAAACCTTCAAAGGCTAATATCTATTTTCAAACTATTATAGCAAGAATGGCTAGCTCTTTATCTAAATCTTGCATAATTACACACAGTTGTCTCAACTTGTCAGATCTGATTTTCTTCCCAGGAATCATGTTAATCTTTTTGAAAATTAACAATTCAAATCTTGATGAAAATAAGCAATATCTAAATTTTACAGTATTGTTATTTTTACCAAACATGGGCCTTTAATACTGTTTAACAGCTTAAATTGGAAAACATGATTTAATTTGGCTGTACCATTATCTGGTCGATAGCACTTGAACAAAAATTATCTGGGTCAATATTTCTTGTTTAAAATGTAAAAGTAAAAATGTTTGACCACATGACGTCATAAAGTAATTTTAGTCTCACCTGTTTTAGAGACAAAGTAAACAAATGATTTGTCATGAGAATAAAAAAAAAAGACATAAGCACTAACATAAAATTAAAAATTAATACAATGAAAAAATGGAAAAAATAAAGAATATTGCACAACACTGAATGAAAGACGTTTTACTGCTTTAAGCTAACACAAAAAGCCTCAATTATATTTCATTAATTCGAATGAACATTTCTAAATACAAGAACAGAAACAGACAAACATTGAGTAATATCACTTTGTATTCCAATCAACTCCCCCACACAACCACTTCTGTGTTTATCATATTCTTTCAAAATTTAACACAAATTCCATACATATATAATTATTATTACTAATACTTGTTGACAAATCAAAATAATTGACTCATTTACATGTCTACAGGGGCTGTTTGTATATTTTACAAATCAGTCAAACAGGGATCCAAGCTATTAAAGATTTGCTGCAGTATTCAAAAATAATGAAAATCAAAGCATCAAATATCAAGTCTTAACAACATAAACATGGTTCCTATAGAAAGTCTGTTTAGTCTACTGCTAACAGCAATTCAACTGATCAGAAATATGGTACAGTACATAGAAGTTAGTCCACCTCATCAGCATCAGGTGGATCTTGTAATGATACTATAAGTTTATCAACTAAAACAGATAATACTTTATCTACTGGATCCATAAAACCTCTCTGTACCCATTTAGGTATAGTAACTCTAGCATGTGTAAAACCTAATTTCTGTAAGACATAATCCACACCTACTGGATCTATCTGTCGTGATGCCCAATGTAATAATCTGAAACAAATAAAATAGCAGATAAACAAAGTAACTTTTTTTGTAAAAAAATAAATTGTTACCAGGTATCAAAGATAGGGCCTACAGTACATGAACATTTGTTGGTAAGAAAATAATTGACAATCTAGTTTATCAAGCAAGGGTCATCGCTGAAATAAAGAATTTTAACATTTAATTTAAGAATTTTTAGGTCTCACAATTTTTTCTGGTGTTCAAGCAGATTACTTTAAGTACAGCAGTGCATTAATTTTTGGTTTTATAGAGAGTCAGGCCAAGGTTAATATGCATCCACCAACTTTTTTATGGTATTATCTTGACCAAGCTGTGAACACCAGATATCAGATATGTTTTGGGACTAGCATAACTGTGATAGGACTCAATTCTGTGTCACTGGATTGCGATTCCATTCTGGAGTCACAATCAAGAGCCCAATATAAGAGTAGGAGGTGTACTTCTTTAAAATGTGGGTAATAACTAGAATAAAATTTATCACAATGTTGTAGAACTGTATGGCAACTTCAAGTCAGAAATCATAAAAATAACAGAAAGACGAATGCCATTGGCCATACCATAACACGGTCTGTTTGTCGTAACAGATCGTGATAAAGGGATATACAATTGATTAAAAATTATTACCTAACAGTAGGTTCTAATTGCCATGCTTTACATCTAAAATCACGCCAGTCTTGTTTTAACGCAGCTGTTGGATCAGGGTTTTTCTTTTTCTCCAAATCTGGTGATTTAGGTGAACGAGAACTATGACCATATGACATGCGGGCTCCTGTTGAACAAAATATGATCAATGTTAAAAATATGATGAATATTTACAAGTCTGGGATCAAATCCACATCTCTTTTGACTCAGTGAGTGTGGTTATCATCTAAAGTGCAGACCTCTAGACTACTTCTTCCTCAATCACTATTTTTTATGAATACAGTATAGGATTCTAGTTTAAAATGTTCCAACTAGATTATAAAATATAATTAAAGTTTTTCTATCTTTTGACTAAACTTTGTCATGTAAGTTGTATATTTGCAACACAAATTTCAGATTAAAAATTAAAAACAAATATGCTGGTATAAAATTTAAAACAAAATTCAAACATAAACAACACAAACCTTTATCTTTTTCTTTAATATAAGATAAAACTAAATCATGTAGAAAAAGTATGACTTCAGCATCCATGGCCACATTTATATGATCATAGAATTCCGTAACAAATGTACACTCTACTACAGGTGGTGCATCTATCAAAATATCAAGATAAAATATAAATAATACAATCTTCTTAAAATTGTACCAACTTTTAATTGTTTGATTTTTCTGGTGCTTATTGCAATCCATCGAGTGACTACCCACAAAATTGAGCGAAAATAACATCTAGTTTTATGCTTGGTAGAAGGAAGATTTATTTCAAAATCCACTAAAAATCATAATTAATAATTGATCAGATTTATGTTCTATACAAAAGTCATATTTTCTACAATGAAAATAAACCAGGATGTCCTCCATCTTGCTGGTTTTAATGTTGTATCAACACAAATTGTTCATTTTGATATAAACAGGCTTATATTTTAATTCTATAGTTATTTGTGCAATGTAACTCAGAGAGCATCACCTTAACACTATTGTGGATTACTTGCCAGAGATATTTTATATTGATAATAATTTATACATAGATGTCCGAACGACCTACCTTCAGTAACTGGTACATTTTTACCCTGTAAATGTGATGTTTTCAGGTTTAATGTCATTGAAGGCATACCAAATATAATCTCGGTTTCATGATTGTAAACTTGTGATTTTCTTGTTTTTCGATGTTCTGGTGGACTTTCTGGTCTACATCGATCTTTTATAATGACTGGGAATGTGTCCAATTCTGAAATGAGAAACGATCATAAAAAGTTTTTAAAAGAGCACACTTAAAAAGTTTTCAGCTACATAGAGGAATAACTTTGGAATGAAACCTGATTATCGATATGTTTCGCCCTTCGTGACCACAATTGTGACCTGTAAAGTGTCCATGCACAAATGTGAACGGACGATGACATATAATACGTCAACATGACAATGTTGGAGTATCAAAACAGCTGTACAATATACAGAAAAATTTCTAAAAAATCTGAAAAAATATCCCCCCAAAATTTGGAAGGTATAAAAAAGTCCCTACCCCCTCCCAATTTTTTTGTAGCTACTACTTGTAATAGCAGTATTTTTAGATTCAAAACCAAATCTATAACTAAATATCATGATTTTATCAACAAATACAGTTTGAATATATTTTCCATTCAATGGTTGTGTATTTAGGCTCTTGGTTGTTGGGATAATGTATCGTTAAGTAAGGAAAATGATTATTGACTGTCTGCCTTATGTATGACATCGATCAATACATTACTTTATAAGAAACCAAGCTCCTTTACACACAAGAAGGTCACCTCTAGTCGATTGAATACAAAAACAGTAACAAATAATTAAAAGTGGTATCAGATGTTACTTACCTTTGATTTCATTAGTAGCGAATGCGTAGGTAAACCATTCTTGTACACTGGTAAATTGTTGTGGTACATAATGACCTCTAGATAATTTACATATTGTTACCATATGTTGACCATTACTATCAGGAGCTTTAGCTCCACCAACAATAAAACTCAAATCTTGTACAATATGGGTATCTAAAATATAATATACTATTCAAAAAAAGTAGGGGATATTTGATTTTTAAGTGTTATTAAAGTCACCTAATGAAACTGACGAAGAAACAAATGACAAAATGAAATGAAGTTCACATTCATCGATTTATTCCAAATGATCGTTAGACTAAGTAAGGCACATACTGACCATTATAAGGGTAAAATGATACCCGGGGTCAAACAGCAAAGTTACCACAGCATCACAACCAAGTCAGTAACGGGTAAATCCTCCTCTGTTTGCCAAACAAGCATTGATCCGACGTGGCATACTCCTAATGAGACGTCTAAGGTCATTTTGGTCCAGATTGTCCCATTCCTGTTGCAACGCAGCAGCAAGTTCTTGGACATTGGCAGGACGTTGTTGACGTTGACGTAACCTCTGTCCAAGCATGTCCCGGACATGCTCGATGGGGGAGAGGTCGGGACTCAGTGCTGGCCAAGGTAATGTGGTGATGTTCTTTTGTTGGAGGTAACCTGTAACGATCCTGGCCCTGTGACATCTTGCGTTGTCATCCTGGAAGATGAAACGGCGGCCATGACGTCGTGCGAACGGCACAACATGGACTGCCAAGATGTTGTCCCGGTAGTACTGGCCTGTAAAACGCCCTGCAACAACATGTAAAGCCGTTCTTCCAGCAACAGTGATGCCTCCCCACACCATAACAGAACCACCCCCAAATCGATCATGTCTGATGACGTTAACGTCTTGGAAGCGCTCGTTTCGACGACGCCACACCCTCCTACGTCTGTCCAAAAAATCAACAGTGAACCTTGACTCATCTGAAAACATCACATTGCTCCAGCGTCGATTATCCCAGTGTTGACGATCCCTACACCAACGACGTCTTGCCTGAATGTGATGATCTCTCAAACAAGGGATCACGCGAGGACGTCGGGCGCGAAGGTGACCCCTATGCAGTCGATTCCGAATCGTCTAGCCACTCACTCTCACACCAGTGTCTGTTTGAAGACGAGCGCTGATCTGATTTGCTGTGATGACACGATTTCTCAAGGCCAAGGTACGGATAAATCGATCCTGGGCTTGAGTTGTCGCCCTTGGTCGACCTGAGCGTGGTCTGTCCTGTACAGATTGTGTATCACGGTATCTGGACCATAGCCTGCTTATGACAGACTGAGAAACATTCATCGTCCGCGCCACAACCGCCTGTGTTGTGCCGATCTGTAGCATGCCAAGGGCACGTAACCTTTCATTTTGGGTAAGCCGACGCATATCAAAATTTGTTTTCTGGTCACTAAAACAATTAAACTGATGTTTCCACCCTGGAATTCAATGCCACAATGACTGTAACATTCAAAGTCAGAGTCGTGCAAATCTTGGGTTGGACCCCCATGATGATCCCAAGCATCACCTGCATTCCATGCGGTAGCTATTGGTGCGTTTGGGCGTCACATGTAACTGGAAATGTTTCTTCTGTTAGGTTCTATAGTGACTTTTTTCGTAGTCATTTGCATATTTTAGTATTATGCCCCCAAAATCAAATATCCCCTACTTTTTTTGAATAGTATATATAAAACTCAAATCTTGTACAATATGGATATCTAAAATATAAAACTCAAATCATGTAGTACGATATAACTACCATTCACAAAACCCCATTGTAAATGAAAGGAGAGAATAGTTTCCACCTATACATTTTTGAATCCCAATTGTGAAATGAATTTTAGATTTCCATCCCATCCGAATGACCTTGTGAATTGGGATCGGTTATATCCTGAAGGTTCTTCTCAGACTATCAACTCAAGTTAAACTGCAGCCTAAATGGTCAACACTGCAACCCAAGGTAGGCAAGAGCAAAACCATTTGACACTTTGGAATAGCATAGTAAATTATTGTAAAGGTAATTATTGTTTATTCTATACTCAATAAATCCTTTAAACCTTCCTTTATGAATTCCACTCATTGTAGACAATACAACGCGACTACAGATAACATAATATGTCACTATGATTGTTGAAAGGTTATTACTGAATGGTGGAATGTGGATGTAGAATTAAAACTTTTATTTCCCTGCAGAGTGCAGATAGTATAGAAGAAAGATTTATTACTTACTATCATTCTCTGTTTTCTGTGCTTCTGTAGAGAAAGAAATATACGGTTGTCTAATGCTAAATAAAGCCCAGGATTTAGAGCGGAAGTTAATGCCATGGAATGATGCCAGACACAGATGTTCACCTTTAAGTGTAACAGAACCACCTAGAACCATACCCTCTTCTGGTAATATCTGTGATAACATGGAGAAACGACAACCTACCAGATGTTCTAAAGCTCCCTGCCAATGTCTGTGATGTCGTAGTTCAGCTAATACTAAAATAACAACGCAAAACAAAAAACAGATAAAAAAAATTGTATTATAATACCAATATTTCAATTTGTAAATCATGGCTGTTTTATCTAATTTGATTAATTAAATTAGTTATTTTTATTCCTTCAATGGGGTTTGTGAATGGTTTTTTCTCATGTGTATTCAACTACATGTAAACCACTCATGATATAATATGATTTTTAAAATCATAGTTAAACATACATTATGCTAGAGCTAAATCTGCCTTTTGCAGGTCTTTCTTTAGGCCTTAAATGTTATATAAACTAGTAATTAGACATTTATTAACATGACAAGACCATAATCAACTCTGGATGCCAACTGATGGGTGCGATTTTAAACAAAAGCTGTTCATGATTAACCGTTAAAATGGATAATAGAGGCTGTGTTTATCGTAACAACGGTAACAATGACAATCGAGGCTACAATGTTTTTGAAATTTGTTTTTCTCGGCTCAGAGTGAAGTAATTTGACTGAAATTTTCTGTATATTCCATTTTTTACCTATTATAGTTAATAATACCTCTTTAATGAACATTTCTATTGGTTTTAGTATAAAGGAATAAAGTATATTTGCATAAAGTATAAATAAATGAAGGATATAGACATGGGGCATAAAAGAATAACAGATAAAGAAATGAAATATAAAGGAAAGAAGGAAATATTATTGAAGGATATATGCATGAGGTATAAATAGGAATGAAGTATTGGCATGAAGAAGGATAAAGGAATGAAGTTTAAGGGTGACAGGATATTATACAATATATTATTGAGCATATTCTGAAGACAATTAAAGTTTCTAGAATATGTTCACTAACAGTTGTACATTAGGACAGGAAAGTACTGATGAATAATTTTCTGTTTTCTATAGATAAAAGATATTAAGAAATGTTGTATGAAATCACTTACGATCATCAGCTAGTTTACTGTGTCTTTGTGTATTAGGTTTACTACTAAGAGGACCGAACGCTGATAAAACTCGTTTACTGCTGGTTAATTGTTGAGTAAAGAATTCCTCAAGTTTAGATACGAGTTTAATTAAATCCGGTGTTGTAGATCGTGATATCATGATATGAAACTGATCCCAAGATAAATCTCCATTTACAAACAAATATGCTGATCTGTTGATATAAAAAAAACCTCAACACAATCAGATGTAATCAGTCAAAGGATGTTAAATGTAATATAAATACCAACAGAAAAATCACAGATACAACATTTTCCCTTTTTGCGTATTATCAAGGTGATAATATGCCAAAATCTAATAATGATATGGGTTCCAGTTTATGCCAAATTTATACCATTACATAAGTCCCAACATAGTTTCAGTCAGGACAAATAGTCATTTGTTTGACAAATTTATAACAACAGAGAATGGGTGTAAGATCTATATGGCTTCACACTTTTTTAAACTTGCCACTTGTATGAAACTGATTTTCTTCATTAGAAATAGAGTACAACCCAATTTTAGTGGAATAAAATAATAAGTCAACATTATTACAGTATGTCCATTAAAAACACAAGTTTCATTAATAATAAATGATTTCCTGGCAAAGATTAATATATTAAGAAAATTCTATTTGGTACCATACTTTACAGAGATCAACACCAAATAATCAAAAATGTACCAAACTTACTCAGAAAGTCTTTTTATTATCTATTTATATATTTTGTTTAATTTACCTTTTAGTTGCTACAGGTGTATCTAAACCAGTTTCTCTTTCTACATGCCAATCATCACGTAATAATAAATCTAAATTATTTAATCTGGTCATTAATACACTACTGCCCATATAATCTACACGACCCTCTAACGCCTCTAAAGTTAAACCAGCACGATGATCTGGATCATGGCCTAAATCTGGATCTTCTTTTACTTGAACTGAAACAAATAGATTCAAAATAAAAAATCAGCATTGATCATATAATATGAACATATGTTGAGTTTTTTAAAAATAGAAATAGAATTTGCAATTGTCACATGACAACGGGGCTCAATCCACATGCATAGCTAGAGTTTATGCTGTTCATACATAGTGTACATACTTGTTTTACTCCTGACAGGTACCTGTGAAGTAATGGTGTATATGCAAGTAAAATCTATTATATGGATTCAGTGACCTGCTTGCCTACTCTACATAGAATTCCAAATACTTATACATGTACATCTAAAAGAAAATATACCCATCAAATTAAACTTTTATGAACAATTATTTCAATTATTTGTCTTAAAAGTGCCGGCAAATTGAGTTGTAATGAGGAAATTTTGAAAATTATTATTATTTTTAATTCTCCGCCTTAATACCTTCAAAATGATGTATGGTTGGGGTATGAATTGGGCGAAAACTGACTGAGCTACCTATACCCATTTAAAGTTGCCCATGTCAGAAAAGGTAGCTTTGAGAAAAAGCAAGTTAAAGATGTCGGTATGTTATAAAACAAAATAACATGGAAACCATGGCATATATTTGTTATTTTTTGTATAATATTTCTCTCAGTGTTATAATTAGAACAAAAGAGAATGGTCCATACATTAGGTTTTGTATATTATAACTTTAATGGGAATAAATTCTGTTAATCTCACCACTTAATTAGCACTTTTCTGTTAGTGCTCAGCAGATTAAGACTCTTGATTATCAAAAAAGCCGCCGCAGCTATAGGCGTGTTCCGTTATCTTCCTCACACAACTCAATTAAAATAAGGCTTTGTGTGTACAGTCTAGGTTTACTGTTATTTTCAGGTACCGTAATGGTATCAGAATCTGAACCCCAGATAGAATGATGAATGCAGCCATGATAAAACAATGCACCACGCAGGGTGTCTCTTTCGATAATTTGTATACTATTCAAAAAAAGTAGGGGATATTTGATTTTGGGGGCATAATACTAAAATATGCAAATGACTACGAAAAAAGTCACTATAGAACCTAACAGAAGAAACATTTCCAGTTACATGTGACGCCCAAACGCACCAATAGCTACCGCATGGAATGCAGGTGATGCTTGGGATCATCATGGGGGTCCAACCCAAGATTTGCACGACTCTGACTTTGAATGTTACAGTCATTGTGGCATTGAATTCAAGGGTGGAAACATCAGTTTAATTGTTTTAGTGACCAGAAAACAAATTTTGATATGCGTCGGCTTACCCAAAATGAAAGGTTACGTGCCCTTGGCATGCTACAGATCGGCACAACACAGGCGGTTGTGGCGCGGACGATGAATGTTTCTCAGTCTGTCATAAGCAGGCTATGGTCCAGATACCGTGATACACAATCTGTACAGGACAGACCACGCTCAGGTCGACCAAGGGCGACAACTCAAGCCCAGGATCGATTTATCCGTACCGTGGCCTTGAGAAATCGTGTCATCACAGCAAATCAGATCAGCGCTCGTCTTCAAACAGACACTGGTGTGAGAGTGAGTGGCCAGACGATTCGGAATCGACTGCATAGGGGTCACCTTTGCGCCCGACGTCCTCGCGTGATCCCTTGTTTGAGAGATCATCACATTCAGGCAAGACGTCGTTGGTGTAGGGATCGTCAACACTGGGATAATCGACGCTGGAGCAATGTGATGTTTTCAGATGAGTCAAGGTTCACTGTTGATTTTTTGGACAGACGTAGGAGGGTGTGGCGTCGTCGAAACGAGCGCTTCCAAGACGTTAACGTCATCAGACATGATCGATTTGGGGGTGGTTCTGTTATGGTGTGGGGAGGCATCACTGTTGCTGGAAGAACGGCTTTACATGTTGTTGCAGGGCGTGTTACAGGCCAGTACTACCGGGACAACATCTTGGCAGTCCATGTTGTGCCGTTCGCACGACGTCATGGCCGCCGTTTCATCTTCCAGGATGACAGCGCAAGATGTCACAGGGCCAGGATCGTTACAGGTTACCTCCAACAACAGAACATCACCACATTACCTTGGCCAGCACTGAGTCCCGACCTCTCCCCCATCGAGCATGTCTGGGACATGCTTGGACAGAGGTTACGTCAACGACGTCCTGCCAATGTCCAAGAACTTGCTGCTGCGTTGCAACAGGAATGGGACAATCTGGACCAAAATGACCTTAGACATCTCATTAGGAGTATGCCACGTCGGATCAATGCTTGTTTGGCAAACAGAGGAGGATTTACCCGTTACTGACTTGGTTGTGATGCTGTGGTAACTTTGCTGTTTGACCCCGGGTATCATTTTACCCTTATAATGGTCAGTCTGTGCCTTACTTAGTCTAACGATCATTTGGAATAAATCGATGAATGTGAACTTCATTTCATTTTGTCATTTGTTTCTTCGTCAGTTTCTTTGGTGACTTTAATAACACTTAAAAATCAAATATCCCCTACTTTTTTTGAATAGTATATGTATTCCTCAAAATTGGGATTATTGGCAATACTTTGGTCATATTTACAACGATGCCAAGTATTATGTAGAAGGACTGATTTCGCTGAGAATATTAAGAAAACCCCCCAAATATTTAAGAATATGATACTCTTACAAAATAAAAGTGTTTTAAGATGTTTTATTGCTATTTTAATCTTTTGGGTTGATAGATAGTATATTTATAGACTCATATATGTGAAAATCTCAATTTCGATCAAAATCAATATCTTCACTTGTTTTGTCTGTAGCTCATTAGACTTTGTGCATTTTGACTCATTTTGCCAGCACGGGTCACATATATGTTGCAGTTGTTGTAAGGTATGAAATTTGAAAAGCATCTCTACTTACATAAACCATGTACACCTTGTAGATCTATAGCACCACCTATAACACCACCTCTAGATTCAAATGATGAACCTCCCAATCCAGCTGTTATCTTTAAATTCTTATGTCCACTACTATCTATAGATAATCTACCCTGACTTTTGACTTCTTTAGTTGTCCACCTGAGGAAACATCATTTAAATGATTTGAATGTTTATTGACTTTCTGGTATTCATGGTATATTCCAAGAGAGAGAATTTGACCAAGGCAACCACCAATTATACCAAAGGAGACAAGCTACCTAAATGTATTTTAGCTAGAGCTAGATCTAGATTTCAGCAACTAATACCCAAATTGTACCTGTCAGACTTCGTTTTGATTACAACGACAAGGGGCTGTTACTCTGTGAAAAATTGATCAATGGCACTCACTTTCAACAGAGTGGTTTTGACAATATACTACCTGAGGAAATGTGGGCACATAAAAAAAGAAAAATCACATACAATAAACTTACATAGTATTACCCATAACATTACTCATATTAACATCTAATTCTAGTCGGGATAAATTTACAGCAAACAATACAAGTGTTTCCCAAGAACTTGTTACACTAGTTTGAGCAGATGTATGCCGTTGTCGTGGTAACTCTGGTGTAAAATATTGTTTGGTTCTATTTCTAAGTGAAGAACGTCCAGTATTTGGCGATTGATAAGTTTCTGTTGAAGCTTCTGTTGGAGAACGTTGATGATGGATGGATGTTCCTAAATTCCAAATGATAAATACATAAATGTAACAAAACTAATAAACACATATATTAAGCATGTGGATGGATAAACAAAAGGAATACGTACATTAATTTTAACATGCAATAACACTAAAGAATGAAAGAAATACAAACAACAGAAAAGCTCTGAAATACGGTCATGCTGGCATATTCAAACTAAGTGAATATGGTATAAATACTATTCGATGAGATTATAAATTCAGGTCACTTTCAGGCTCGCTGCCATTTTGTTAAGTGGATAAACTTAAAAGTGGGTAAAGGATAGTTTCCAGGCAACGAAACATACACCCACAGTTGCTAATTCGTTCATAAAGGTTGTCGCACTATGAATCTCTAAGTAAATACATAGCAAAATCTAGCATTGACAAAATTATGTGACATAACCAAGGGCAATAACTGTATATTTGTTGTGTTATACATTGCATTAATCATAAATAGAGAGTAGATCAAAAGATGACTTGAGCTAAAAGTGAAAGCAATCAGAAATATCTACAAAGTGAACAAAAGTGCATAATTTATTCTGATTCTTCAATTCACTAATCCAAACACAGCATATAAATTTCGATCAGAAAAATGACAAGATTAAATGTAGTGATCAAGAAGAATAACTCTGGAAGTTATTATCAGAAATTGTTGAAATCAATTGGACTTCTTCATCTCACTAATATAAACAATATACATATAAATCGGATAATAATATTGCGCCAGTAAAGTTCACAAGAAATTTCTGAAATCAGTTAGACTTTTCATCTCACTAATGTAAACAACATATAAATTAGATAATAATATTGTGCCCATAGAGAGTTCTTAGGAAATTATGGATGAGGGACGGACATGATGGGGTGATGGCAAAATGCAATCACAACTATAGCTTCTACAATGCTACCTGTTTGAAGCCTGTAGAAATGCTACATCACATTTTATAGGACTAGCTATTTCAATGAGTGGAAATTAATAGAACGGATCCCAACGAAGCAATCAATAGGGAACGGTACAGTCCACTAATACCAATTAATAGGCACCAAGGTTACAAAAAAATAAATGAATTATTTTAGTGTAATACTATATTTATTGAAAGCCACCAAGATTGTCTGTAAAGCACCGACTATTGTCAGATTCAGCACCGATTATTGCCAGATTAAGCACACAAGTTAAGAATGATAATAATATTTGCAGAGATAAATCGACTAACAAAATGGCAGGGAGTGACGTAATTCTGAATACCGCGAATACTGTGAATTCAATCTGCATAGGCTACTATAATATATGTAGGCTATATAATAAATCATCATATCATATATATGATCCTCTGAAGATTGATGAGGAATATCAAATTGTCTTGAAATATCATAAGATCTAATAATTAAAATGATCTAGAATTTATAAAATAGATGATCTAGAAGAAAAATTTATCTTAAGGAAAATGCCATATAATAAATAAAAACTTCAGTTTTTCAATAATGCAATTAAACTCAGAAATCAAATCTACTACAATGTTAAAGCTTGAATTGATGGTCAATTACTATATATTATTAGTTTAGAAAAGTTATTTTAGATATTAAAATGAATACTAATTAAGACATTTTAGATATTAAAATGAATACTAATTAAGACATTTTAGATATTAACTAGTTAAGTTAAATAATTAATCAGACATGATTATTATCATTAGTTTTACCAATAGTGTCAGTTTATTAATGGGACAAGAAGACAGAAAAAGACAGAAGATTCCAAAAAATTAACCAAATTGAATACAATAAGACTTGACATTCTGTACTTTATAGCTGACCAAACTCATATTTACTTAACAAGTTTTATCATTGTGTCATGTTATTACTCATGTAGACCCCACAATGTGAACTGGCAAGCAAAATTCTCTCTTTTAAAAATTCACTGCAGTCTTGTGCATAACACAGACTTATTTGAATAGCAGTCTTTCTGAATATGTAACGTAAGAAACTAAGATCTAATCTTAATTAAATTGGTTTGAATATATTTTGAATTTGTATCTGCCCTAATTTATATTTTATCATAAAGAAATTATCTGCATGTTATTATAATCTACCCAATTACAATATAAATCATACTTTTATTTCATGCCCCACATTATCCCATAATTTAAATAATTAATATTTTGATTGATTATCTGTCATATTATCTTTTTAATTTGAATATCATTTAAATGTCTGCTAGTCTTGACCTATGTTCAGAGAATTGAGCATTCTGATTTAATATTTTTTTCAAAGTACAAAACTCAGTTTAGGCCAAGACAAAGTCGAGGAATATAAAAGTTAATTTCCAAATAATAATTCATTTCTATACTTTGGAGTGTTCTTAATAGCATTCCATAAATATATAGATGAATATGAATTTAAGATATAACAATGGCTATATCTAACATCTGATGGTTATTAACCCATTTAAAAAAATAAAATCTCATTGTTTTAGCAAATAGTGACATTGCAATATCAAACCTTTGGCTTTATTTCGAATCTTAGTCTGTGCGATTTCATTCTGAAACTCTGGCGAAATAAGGAGTTTATCACCCGATGATGCAGCTCTCCGATGATCACGTTTTTGAGTGTATGAGATATTACCATCATTAATAACAAGTGAGGGGAAGGATATAGATGTTTGTGAATAGAAAGGTGGTCGGGAATTTGTGTCTCCATTTAGATCATCGTATGGAGGATCAAATTCTGCAAGAAATTTCAAATTATAAAAACATAAAACAATCAAAATGCAAAAACAGCAAAATTAAAACAATACTCATGCTTAAAGTAACTAAATCTCTTTAATTTAGGTGAAAATAAAGTGTTGAATTGGGTTGATCTGTTGTGTTATTTAGATTTTATGAGCTGACTGTTCGCTAATTTTAGTTTAATTTTTAGAATTACTGTGTTTGAAATTAAAAATGGAACACAAAATCGGCCATATTGCCAGATTGGCTTTATATGGATGCAAAATTTTGAACAAAGACAGTCTGCCATCCCACAAAACAAATCAACTTTTAAATCCAATGAAATCTAAAATTTCATGTTTGACCCAAATCAAAGAAGTATAAGTCATTATCATCAAAACAAAAATACACTTCAAAATACAACAGGGTTGCAATGATACATGATAAGTATTAATTTTATGATCTCATTAACCATTGCTACACTTAACATCAGTTATGAATGCTTGTTCTGAACAGTCAGCTAGGGCTAGATAGACTCACTGGTGAACTAATAAAAACAGTTGTTACAACCTCTGATGTATATATATACAACTGTTATATATCCCACAATAAATTTACTTCAGTCTTGCAAAAATTACATTGGCTGCCAGTTCACACCAGGATGAAGTTCAAAATATTGTCTCTTGGGTATCACAGTCTGGATGGAAGGAAGTGCCCTGAGGTACCCATTTGATATCTTGAAATATTATGCTTCATCTGATGAATTAATCAGCAAAAACCTTGTGTTCCTCAGTGGAAGTTAAAGCCTTTTGTTGGTTATTGTTTCCAAGTTGCTGCATCCAATAAACTACCGTCAAACCTATGCAGAAATCCCAACACTCAATTCAAATCTGACTTTTCTGTGTGAATTATATTAGACACTAATGCTTTATGCGCATTGAGTATATATGTTTTGTGGTCATATAATTATTTATCATTATCACTGAAACTGCCATCAGTTCAAGTCAATCTGAGTGGAATAAGCAGATAAATTGTAAGTTGAAAATTTGAGGTGATTGTATCAAGTCCTAAAAAAGTCTGTTTTCATGTTTCTGTAAGTCGATGTAAGAATCAGACCAAGGGGAAGGCAACTGATCAGAAACACCACTATGGTAAATGTAGCATTGGTTAATGAACTGATAAAGCTTGTAACCATTGCTTCAGAAATATGCATAAATTGTGATTAAAACTGATGGTACAAATAAGGAATATAAAATTCCATTGATACATGCAATCTAATTCCATTTATTGTTTCCCCTAGCCAAATTTGTCTAAAAAAAGGATATCCCAAGATGAAATGTCTTTAGAAGTTGAATTTCAAAAATAAAAATACCACATAATTATTGGCACTGTGGTATTTTAACCCATGCAATTAACATTCTAAAAATATTTCTTTCCGGGATGTCCTTTGTCAGAAAAATTTTGCCAAGAGAACAGTAAATAGAATTGAATTGCATGTATCGAAGAAATTTATGGTGTACAATTAATTTCTGTTAATCACAATTTGAAGTGATAATATGTATCCTTGCACCCTTAAAATACAACATCCATAATTAATCAATACAAAATAATATGGAAATAAGGAGTTTAACAACAAAGCTTATATGTAATACTAGCTGCGAAAAAAAATACATCTTTCATAGTACGTAGAATATTTATTTACTCTAATTCATCCAAATCCAGCAATATTTTAACTCTAATCTCTATCATTGTATTTAAAAGTACCTGGTTCCTATTAAGTCATTTTCCATTAAACTAGAACTAAAACCGAACACTTATGCGTGTGTGACGTGAGTAGAATTTTGTAGTCCTGACAGACTTATTATATATCAGAGCAGAATATTTCCAATTCTAAAACTGTCATTTATAATTGGAAAAAGTTTGGAATTGGTTAAGATAAAAAATATGTTTGATTACAATCACTGAGATGGATGAAATAATATTGATGGATTTGGGTAGGTTTGGGTGAATTCCATAGCTGTATAATGATCTTTTACTATTATTATCTATGGAGATATTACTTTAGAAATTATTGTTGACTGACAGCATTTAGAAATTATCTATTAATACAAACTGATCAGAACTACTAATACAGTGTACGTTAGACAAGATTATCTAATATATGAGTTAATTCAAAGAGACATTTACCCATTTTAAATCAAATTAAGTAGTTCTGAAAAAATAAAATAAAATCCTACCATCTCCAGGAACTTGACCAAAACTGTCATCCCCTAAGAATAACCTTCTGGCCAAGTTTCTACGATACCAGGCTTTAGGCAGTGAAAGAATCTCAGACAAGCGTCTCATATCATACTTAAAACTGGCCGCTCCAATATCACATACAGCTGAAAAAGAAAAAGCATGCACTGATACATGTAGGTTCATCATGTATTCTGTAAAGATCCTTTGGTAGTTTGAATTAAAAATCAACCATGATCCCAGAAATGAAAATTATTTTATGTTAGTCTGAAAAACATCATTAAATTATTCAGCAGTCTGTTTTCAAATAGAACTTTAATTTCTGGCTGGTTACATTTATGATTTATCAAAAAATGTAAGTATGACTTCAAATATGGGAGAATGTGAGCATGCCCTATACACATGAATTCATTTTAGAGAAAAATATAATATTTCACAAAAATAGTACTTACCTGAAAATCGAACCATATTACACTTCTGCTGTGGATCAAGTTTAGTAACAGTAATATTATCTCCTGAACGGAAGTCCATTTTACGACTACGAGAGATATTGACTTTAATAAATTCCACATTTAAACTAAGTGAATCTTTTCTCTGTAATTCTATTAAACCACTACTACTACTACTAGTTTCTTGTATACTGCCTATAAATAGAATATAATAATATGTCTAAATAACACTTTTTCTACATATTTGGTGTAACAAAGGAGAGATTATTATTTCTTTCACCTCAGGTCTAAAACATGCCAGTATTTACAAGAATCTGCAAGGGTTCTCAAAAATTACCACCACACCTCTTTTCCAAAACACATGTTTTATATTCCTTACTTTAAACAGTATTGATTCGTAAAAAAGGATAGGTTGAAAGGCAACGAAACATACGCCCACAGCTTCTAATTTGTCTGAGTGGTCGAAAAGGGTTGTCACATATTAATTCTTTTGTAGATAATTAGGCGGATTTATTTACAAGACGATTTCATACAGATCAGATTATAATTCTTGTCGTTTGCGGGTTCACGAGGTTTTACAAACTGAAACAAGGGCCTTAACTCTGGAGTAATTACAGAAATTGTTGAAATTCAACAGACTTTTTCGTTTTACTAATTCAAGTAATGCATATAAATTTTTACACAGATTGGATTATAACTTTTGTCATTCGAACGTTCACAATGTTCAACAAAGTGAAACAAGGGCCATTACTCAAAAAAAAATTAACGAATATTATTGAAATTAAATAGACTGCTTCATCTCCCTGATGTAAACAACATATATCAATTTCAAAACAATAAGATGATAAATGTAGTCTGTAGAGTGTTGACAAGAAATTATGGACGACGGACGTATGGTCAGGGGAAATGCCAATATACAACCACATTTCCATGTGGGCGTATAAAAATAAATGAAATATTGTTTTTTTAAAATCATTGATATATACTGTATTTGTTGGCGGTTTAGGTGCATGCATATATTCCTTTCATGTACATTGTAACTTTAAATATTATTCATTTGTAAAAAGTACATAAAATCTTTGATACACACTGGTAATTAAATAATGTCTTAAGGAATTTACCCAAAAAATGGCATGGAGTTTAACTGTGATTTGGAAACAAGATTTTTATTTCTACAATAATCAAAATCAAACCTAAGCCTCTCTTGGAATAGCTGGGTGATGCTGTCTGTCCCATGCGTCGTTGTCCACCACCATAAGGATGAAATATATATAGTGAAAAGTTCGACAGAGTTCCTGTAACACTGAGACCTCCAGAGTGGGTACCAAGAGAATTATCAGACAGTGTACTTCCCAAACGACCTCTTGATCCTGTTGCTGTGGCACCACCTGTAGTCTTATCACCACCTCTTTTCGGCACTAAAACAGAAGATTATTACTTACAGATCTGAGATAATGCTTTGGATAAAATACGACCAGTCACATTGATTTCAATAAGTTTTATTTAATGAAAAAATGATTTCATGTCACATTTTGTAATTATATAACATCGTAGCGTAATTACCTTTTGCTCTACTGGGTGGAGTACCTTCACTAAATGGCACTTCAACGTCTGCTTTCTTGGTAGAAAAAACTAACTCAAGTGAGGGTACGTTGAGTACACACTCAACACGAGATATAGGTATACAGTTAAAACGTATCATAGATCGTTCAACTCTAATAAATACAACAACATCAACAGGAAATGAAGCTAATCCTACTGGTGAGGTTAACGAACCATGTGAGGCATCTAACTCCATGTTTAAAACACTTCCCATCACATCAACTAAAAACACAAAAAATAGTAATAACATTAAAGGTACAAAAAGAGAGAGAAATGGGGTTTAATGTCCACTCAACATAAAACTAGATCATTTCGGGACTAACACATGGTTCAATTTAATTTCATTAATTCACTTGCGTGTAGGGGTTTTTAGCAGTGGGAGGAAACCAGAGCAACCAGAGAAAACCCTTAGAGGTTGGACAGGCGACACTACTCCTTGTGAGGTACAACCAGAGAATAGAAACCACGCCAGTTGACTCAATGACAGACCTCGTGATATAGCGCACATGTGCTAACCATTCGGCCATCCAACCCCCTATTAAAAGTACAGTACTCCAGCTGATAAAGATTTCATCCATTTTCACTTAATTTCAATTTACTTTCAGCACACCAAACCAGATTGTTCAAATTATAATATTATCTCAAAAGTCAAAAATATTTAATGTAGAGAATGGTTATCATGTAATTAAGTACATCTGATTATTAAAAGAAACCCCAAAACAATGGTAGTGGAATAAAAATATTACCTTTTTTATGTGCCGTAGGTTGAGATATAGGTAATGGTTCTAAAGCTTGTTCAAGGAAATCTAATAAACATGGACTTATAATCATCTCCTGAAACATAATTCATTATATATATCTTTCAAAGATAGAAGGTTCCCTGGAGATTAATAAAATCATCTTGTGCAATCTGAAAATTTTGGGTTTTTTAAAACTAAATGTTTGATATTTATTATGATTTGGGAAAATAAAATTATAGACAGAAAGTTATTAGTTCTCATAAATAAAATGTCAACAGCAAGATTGGCAGACTGCTGATTGTCATTATAATGCTACACATTTCTATTGGTAAGTGATAGTTAGAGCAAGGTTAACTTAACACAGACTTAGTCATTTTCGTGACTACATTTTGGTAAAGCAGGCAAGTACAAACCCGGCATTGAACACATGGCTTGCATAGATAACAGGCCTTATGATGTAAAGTGCATGTGTTAGATCACTTGGTCACCCAAGCACTAAAATCTCAATAGGAGAATAGTGCAATTATTGAAGTAATTTTGTGGATAGCCTTTGTACACAGATTATTTTTATAGCTATAACAAAGCTACACTGTTCTGAATATATGTAGTGTTGAAAATGAAAAGAAATAAAGACAACTTTTTATTAGCTGAGCTCCTTTAATTCTTGACTCAAACTGTTTTATAGTAAATTTGAATTTATAATATACCTCAGGTAGAGTATTTAAAGAAAGCCAAGCGTATAAATTTGCTCGTTTCATGGTTCCCCGTTTCGATCCTGGTTGAGGATTAGTATTATCTGTTGGTTCTACTATAGTTGGTATATCTTGGGTTGTTGGGGTACTAGCATCATAATAATTCCATTGTGGTGTCTTTAATGGAGTTTCACATGATGGAGTAGGTGTTTCTGTAGAATAACCACGACTGATGTCAAATGAACTGCCACCACCAGCTCCCCATACCAAGTCTGATGTTGTCTTTGAATTATAGTGAACCTGGTTCAAAGATAAAGATCTTATTACTTTCATCAAAATCATAAATCTAAGCTCTGGTCTACATAAAGCTGGCATTACAAATTGTTGGAACGTGATCCCAAATGGGGCTGATGTCGACAGGGTTTCCCAATTGTCATGGATTGCGACTGATTTTGAGTTTCAATTTCTGTTTGTGAATTCAATGAATAAATTTCTTCTTCTGAAATGCTGGCAAAACGTGTCTCCGACAGTCAATCTTTTAAAATTTATAACATTAACATTTGTTCTAATATCTTTAAAACAAAATCATCATATATGTTCATGAAATACAAGTTGATGTTACAGATTTAATATCAGCTTACAAATCATCTTCAATACGAAACCAGTTAACATCAACCAGGCAATGTGACAAAACCACACCAGCAGTCTTCTTGCACAGAGGATAGTAAAAATTTGTCATATATTATATTTGCAAAGAAAGTAAAAGAAATATCATTTGCTCAAAATATGGATGTATAACAAATGGGTGGTTACCTTTACATCCACACTTGGTAGAAAGAAGACAGTGGTCTCCCCTTGCGTTGTTGAGATTTGTTGTTGTGTCTTTTTACCTGAGGATAACGATGGTGAAGAATCATGTCGTTTTATTTTAGTTAGGTTTGCTTCACCTATTCCTCCACTCTTTTCTCTCTTTAATTGCCTGAAACAAGTATGTAAACGGCTGTAGAGTATATTAAGCGCGATTACTAGATACTAAACATTAATATGCAGTACCTGATTCATTACATGGTGACCTCACTCACCTTCTAGGTATTTTGTCTAGAGGCCTATTCATAGTTGACAGATATGAAATCTGAGTGGATTCTTTAGGTCTGTGTCAATTCTGGCCAATCATTTTTAAGATCAAAAGGCGCTAAACCTGATATGAGGTGTTATTTTGATTAGTGACGGCACTATATGATTAAAAACAATTTTTCTAACGGTTAAGTAGAACTAGACCAGTTTATTAAATTTAGTTCATTTTTTGGCTAATTGTAGAACAAAGAACTGGTTATATCTTAACACTGGCTTTTCATCTACTGACGTAAAATTTTCAAGAAAGACAGATTATCATCCCACAAAACAAATCAACATATAAAATCAAATGTAATCAACAGTTTTATTTTTGAGTGAAATTAAAGATGTCTTATCATTTTTATTCTAGGTTTTAATATTTACCAGAAATCATAACTTACTTTTTAACTTCTTCTTCTTTAGCTTCTTTTGGATAAAGAACACATTTCCCACTGTCTATAAATACTTTAATATCCAGTTCAAAATCAATACTAGGTTCACTGGTTGTTTTACCAGGTATAGAATGACTACTCTCTAGTGTTGTACTTCTTGCTCGACTGTAAAAACAACATTTTAATAACAGACTCGCTGGCACTCAAAATATAGAAACACTATTTGAATGGTAAAGGGTATCATTCATCAAATATTTTTTACACAGTTGGTGTGTCAATGGAGATAAACGTCTTGTGGTACTTAGCGTTAAGGAATTCTTGAATGTGTGTTCAGAACTTTCCAATTGACACAATTACAATAAGTGACACAGAATTCAGTTCTTTTTAATCCCGAAAACTAATGCTGTGTGAGAAGAGAGAGAGAGAAATGGGGTTTAACGTCTACTCAACACAAACTAGGTCATTTCGGGACTAACATATGGTTCAATTTTTTTTTCAATAATTCGCTTGCGCGTAGGGGTCTTTTGCAGTGAGAGGAAACCGGAGGTCCCAGAGAAAACCCACGAGGATGGACAGGCGTCCCTACTCCTTGTCACGTACAACCAGGGATTCAAAACCACGCCAGTTGACTCAATGACAGGCCTTAATCAAATACGGAAATGTTATTTATGCAGTGATCACACACAGAAAGGTGTGTGATGACCCAGTGAGCAGGCTCCATGTAACGAATGGGTTCAAAATGGTGGATACGAATCACTTACTTTGTACTTCTATAATTGTTTCTAGTGTTATGTCTGCTTAAACTTTCTTCTGAATCAGTATTGGAAGATGTAAGAGATACATCTGTGTCCGATCCCTTAATATCTTGTAAAGACAGAGTCTGTGTTAACTGTTCCTCATTACTTTCATCAAACATATCTACATCTAAACTCATAGATCGAGCTTCAGCTGAACTATAATCAAACATAGCATACTATCATTGAACATATCTACATATTCTAATAAAAATAGAGAGACAGAAATCCCAAACCATTTGAATAACATAAACTTTGATGTGATCTTAGTCACAATAAACTTGATACAGTGACACCAGTAACACCGATGGAACTTTCAGCTGAGCTATAATCAAATATAACATATACTAAACATTGAACATATCTACATCGAAATACGTTAACAATAAATCATGCATTTAATATCAAATTAATTTACTTTGTGAGCAAATGAAGCATGTAAATAGCAAATCTTTACAAAAAATAAATTCCACAGATTCTATAGATCACAATTATTTTATTTCATCAAAAGATCCCACACAAAATAACATATTTTTTTCTGATTATGATGTTGACTGAATGATACGAATCAATACATACCTTGGTGGAGGATAAGTTGAACCAAACTGTACATGTGATTTATTATAAAAGGGATCATCAGCTGATATGGGTCGTATTCTATTGTGACGATTATCTAATGTCTTAGATAAAACTCTACCACTACCACTATCACTTTGAATGTAATAATAGAAAATTATCTTAAAATCTCTTAAAAATCAATTTAAATCTATAATTCTGATTAGAGAAATGGGGTTTAACGTCCACTCGACACAAACTAGGTCATTTCGGGACTAACATATGGTTTCATTTTTTTATTTCAATAATTCGCTTGCGCGTAGGGGTCTTTAGCAGTGGAAGGAAACCGGAGGACCCGGAGAAAACCCACGAGGTTAGACAGGTGACCATACTCCTTGTCACATACAACCGTGGAATCGAAACCCCGCCAGTTGACTCAATGACAGACCGTATGATACAGTGTGAGCGTGCTAACCATTTGGCCATCCAACCCCTCCCCCCCTTTTATTCTGATTAAAAAGGAAGAAACCATTAAAATAATGAAAAAGACCAATAAAATCAAATACAAGGATCTTGTACAGACCACATCAAATAACTTATAAATGGCTGAGAAATAAACCATTCCGACTATTTTAATGCCAGATTAATTCAAATATATTGAACTTATTCAAAGTGAAATTTTTCAACTAGAATAAGAAGCAAAACGCATTGTAAACTTGTAATATTTTCGGTTAAAACAATCTTGTTACTTAAAACCAAGAAATGTAAGAAAAAGTTAAATTAAGAACTTTGAGAAACATACATAAAACTATCTAGCAAGTCTTATGATGATGTCACTTGTATTTCAAATACATGGGACTACATGCACAACATTGATTTGGGTTAATTTCTAATAGAGCACTCTTTCTCTTTATATCAAACTTTTATCTATACTGACTATTTATCAAATTACATTTACCTATCATGTCGTCTTCCATGATGTCCACCATATGACCTTGACCTGACATGAGCTGGTCGCATACCAATACCAAGTTTATCTTTAATAGCTGAAGCCTATAAAGAATGAAATACACACTTGAATTCTCACTATGTGTATACTAAATAAAGGTCAGGAGATATTAGAAGTAACATTAAAATTGTAATTTTCCACTGTACTAGAAGTCAAATTGTAGCCCAAAAGTTTTTGCCCCAAACCGATTATTGAATCTTTTAATTTTCAAAACAATATATATAATACCCAAAATAGCACTAAAACATCTTTACCCTTTCACTTTGTTTTTTGATCTTGTTAAAAACATCTCGTCTAAAATCTCTAAATACAAGAGCCTGCAATTCTTCTAATTTTTTTCTTTCAGCTTCTATGGTACTCTGACTAGCTCCAAGATCCCTGAAAACAATAGACCAATATAATAATATCTGACAATTTGCATCTTTGCAGAAAAAAGAAAAATGACTCAATAATATCGTGAATTATTTGTGTTCCAAAATGAATGGAATGGGGGTTCTAACCTCTCATCAACACAGGCCATTTTCAGGTTAACATTACTTCTATGTCTTTGTGCATAATGTGATGGGAACAATTTTGCCCATACAGCAGCATTTCAGTCTATTAAACAATTACCCCAAACTGACTATTCTGTCCAAGTTTGTTAGAAGATATACCAGAAGGCTTGTGGGGATATTAAATGTATGCATGTGAAGCCTCACCGTAAATCTTGTACAATTTTAGCTTGTTCATTCATTTCTCTTTCAATCTGTCTAACCCTTTCTTTAGGGTCCATGTCTGTTGTGAAGACTATATCAGGTAATATGTCAGATACTAAACTAGTTCTTCTAGAGGTTAATGTTGTCTATAAATACATAATAAACAATATTTACATGCAGATATTGAATCAGTACTTTCTGATCCATTACATTTACAATGACTAGAAAACACAGATTCTATATGGGACATCACTATATGCAGTGCAGTTCATCAATAGGTAGAGAACTGAACGTTATGTGTGGTATAATGGTTGATAGCATGACATTATAAAGCATTGATACTGTACAGGGGATATCAGCCCAGGTGTTGTATCAATATATTATGAAATGTCTTGCTTGAGACCATTAAACAACTTGAAATACAGACACTGTCCCACATGTGCATTTCAATGATATCGTCACTTGAGTCCAATATTTCATCTAGTATAAATAATGTACATTATTTAGAATAATAAAGGTATCTTACATCAAAGGATGATGTCACATCTGTATTATATAAAATCTAATGATTAGCTTATGATGATGAAAGTTTCTACATTATTTTGCTCAAATATTGTCTTCTTTCAAAATATTAAAATAAGAAATCTGACAAGTAAATTCTAAACAAATCAGTTCTTACTTCAGTATCGGTGGCTTCATTATCAGTCTCATCAACCTGGTCATCATCATCTATTACATTATATTCATCTTCTTCAGTTGTCTCCCCTGCTAGGGCTGTAAGCGTATGACCAAGTGCCGATAATCTTTTACCAATATCTGTGTCAAAATGAACGTCTAACCCTTGCATCTCCCACTGAACATTTAAAATCCATTTGGCGTTACTTTTGGGATCTAAAAACAACAGAAGACATGACATTAAAGTAGTAATAATATCGTAATTAAAATAGAAAAAAAATCATGTGGAGTCTTTGCATTAAAAAATGCCATGAATCCTAGGAACCTCAACATTTCTCAAAGACAATACTTGATAGCTCTAATTATGAAATTACTTTGTAACCAACAGAATGTTTGTTAACAATAGGCAAAGTTATTGAGTAATAAACAATGGGTACTGCAATTCCTACAGCTTAAGACTGTTAGACTTTCTAAATATGACTATTCAGGAATGATTATGATTGAAGTCTGGTTAATTATTCTGGATTGCATAGACTTACTGCTACATTAATAAAACAGAGGCTGAAATATAGTTCAGGAAAAAAAAAACTAACCAGAAGCTTGTTTATTATCTGTTCTAGAACATACTTCATATGTTCCAGCTTTAACAACCATTACATTCATGATAGGTTCTTCTTTAGTATTAGGTTTCCAATCATCCAATGATGTCTCAAAATCATCAGCAAATCTCAAACAGAAACCTGTTACAAGAAAATTTACGACAGTTCAAACAGTAGGATCTTATAGTCATGTCTTTATTTTACTCTTAAGCTGTTTAATTTTATTTTCTAGTATATACATAGTGATAACAAAACTTACTTTTAAATCTGCCTTTACTGACAAGTGAACCGGAGGAACAAGCTGATATCTGGGTGGATTCAACAGTTAGAACCAAGGCAGCTCCTGGCTCAGACTCTGCTAATTTAGATGACTTCTATCAAAGAGAAACAAAAACAATCAAGCTTAAATTATTGTATTTAAGTTTTGAAAGGTTCCATTTAATGTCATATAATATACATTTTGAATTACTGGTGGTATATTAAAAAGTGTAGCATAATGTAGCACTACAATCACTGTCAGCCATGAAACCAAAGCTCACTGCATTTATGGAGCAAACAATGCTTTAATAAAATTTGAAATGAATGATAAAATAAATGTATGAATGGCTAGAATAATTTTATTATATAGCTACCTGGTATAATGTAGATTCTAGAGGAACACATATACCCATATCATCAACTGTTAACTGTAGAAATAATGTACTAAGAGTAGGACCAGCTGCTGGTGCAAACTGGGGTAACCTATCAAAAACTTGACGGGTTGCTGTTTGTACCTGTTCATGGAAAAATAAAATCCAATCAAATGACAGGAAAATCATAATTTCTATATCTTCATCAAGGTTAATTGTGTATTCCTTGCAACCTCAATTTTCAACTGGAATATTTCAAGTGAAAACAAACGTAAAATACTAGGATGAAAGTGATTAATAATCTAACCATTATATAAGATATTTGGAATGTACTCTGAAAACATAAGGACAAATGTTGTTGAGTCAACTGTTATTTTGTTTGTGGTTTGTATTGATATGGTCCATGCAATGGCAGTTTTATTAGATTTAAAATTGAAAAAGCTTCCCAACAAGAACCTGTCATTACATTGTTTCCATCAACAAATAAAAGTTCATCAGAGTTTGGATATTTATATAATCAGGATGTGAAACTTTAATGTAATATGTAATTGTACCATTATATCTTTAAAATATGTCAGACATATTTACAGATAAAATCTATTGTATTAAATATCAGAAACTGATGATAATCATTAACAAATAAAATGTCAACTCACCTCATTATTTAGAGCCATTCTCTGTTCTGTCCAATATTCATAAGCATTTTTATAGTTCAACCATACCAACACAGCTAATAATCAAATAAAAAAAAACCCACAAAGTTTAAATATCAGAATTTATAAAGATAATCTAAATCCTTTAATTGAAAAAAAGTGGCCAAATTATCTCTGTGGGTTGAGGGATAATGTCTGACAGTGAAGTCAAGGTTTAAATAGGTCTCTTGCAGCTTTTGATTTATATTCAATAGAAAGTCACAGGTAATTATAACATGCTGACTTTTTGTCATCTATCTGGTTCACTCCATATGTCAAGTGGACCAAATTCTCAGAACGTTGTCAGGTGATCACCTGAGAAAATCATGAAAAAAATATATGCTATAGTAAATACAAACTTATGTAAAACTGCAAAGTTATATGATTCTAGCATTAATATCGACGGAGATGTGGCCTTTTAAATTGGAGTACCCTTTCACAAGTTTTGAAGCTACTATTCTATGACTCGATTTTGGTGTACTGATTATCTTAGTCAATATTAATGCTAGAGTCACATTACTTTGGAGTTCTACAGAAGTTTGTATCTACTATAACATATATTTTTTCATAATATTCTGAGGGGGTCACCTGATATGCACTGGTCCACTTGACATGGAATGACCCATCTGTTATAATGCAATTTTTCAAAGGGAAATGAAGAAATTATGATCACAGCATGTATTCTAAATCAGAACATTGGTTTGTATCATTATGGAATAAAAACTATTTCTATTATAGCAAGAACATTCTTTGTGTAAATAGCAACAGTGATGTGTAGTATTATTACCTTTGTCAAAAGCTAGAGGTTGAGCTAAAACAATAGGTCTTGATACTGTTATTAATAAAGCTTCTTGTTCAGTGGCGACACCTGGTATCATTTCATCCTAATCAATAAAATTTATTATTATTGAAGCATAATCATAAAACAACTTAATCTTTACATACATATCAGTAGAGTCATTCACATTTCTACATTAATCTGATCAAAATACCTCAATCAGACGTAATAATGTGGTAAATTTATAGAAAATGCAGAACATTATTTCCTGCACTGTCATATGATGTAATTCGGCAATACTATATACCGGAAAACAACCGGAAAACACCATTTTATACTGAATACCGGAAAACACCGGAAAAACACTAAATACCGGAAAACACACTAAATACCGGAAAATACCCTAAATAGGTAACCCGGAGACTGGCACCCTAAATAGGTAACCGGGAGCCTGGTCCTCTGTGTGCCTGGGTTAGGGTTAGGGTTAGTTTTCGGTTTATAGTATAGCCCTTCTCCGGGTAACCTATTTAGGGTGTTTTCCGGTATTTAGTGTTTTTCCGGTGTTTTCCGGTATTCAGTATAACATGGTGTTTTCCGATAGTATTCCGGTAGTTTTCCGGTGTTTTTCTGTGTTTTTCGGTATATAGTATAGACCATGTAATTCGTGTGGACCAATTGAATAGTTTATCAGATTATCCTGTCATTTAGATATCTTATTATGGCCTAACACAGAATTATCAAATGAAATGAATAGACATCTTTTCTTAAAAGTTCACAAATTTATAAAATGTTCTGAAAGGTTTATATGAAAATTGAACATTCAAATGTGTATACAATATTTTGGTGGATAACAATCTCTTCTTTCTTTTTACACCCAGTCTCATACTATAATATTCCCTATTTTCCATTCCCTTACTTTCTTCATAAATTATTCACTCACAAGTATAATGGGGAGCCAAACTATATTATTTCATTTCTATTGTTTAGATCACAAAACATTTTATACATAACACAGTTCAACCATACTCCATTTAAATTATACATTACGAATCATATTGAACATAATGTATGTAAGTGATGTTGTTGATTTTTTTCTCACTCTTTATTAAAAGTTACTATAAGATTCAATACTGCATATTATTGGTTCGCTATCTTGTTAAAATCTATAATGTTTAAAACAATATGTTTGGGAAGGGCTATTCTAAGTTTTTGAAACTTGTGCCTGATCCTTTCTATATGTGTTAATAAAATATGTTTAAATTAAAAGGGTTATATCTCCACTCAACGTAAATGCCATTTGGGGTGTTTTTATCACAATAATCCACATGTGTACATTAAGTAGTGTGAGAACCCGGAGAAACCTCCCTAAAGGAAACATTCTTATGGATAACAACATTGACATGTACTGTTTCATTTTCAGCAATAAAAGTTTTTATCAACTTTCACAAGATTTTAAATCTGACACTGCTCTTTATTCTCTCTTTTAAGAATTCTGCTTTCTTTTTACCTGAATGGCATTCCTAACTCCTATCTTTGTCTTGAAAAATGCCATAGTTTGAAATTCTGGTTCTGCTTCTTCAAATACAGGATTCTATCAAAATAGAACAAATATTGGAGTAGAGGCATGTGAATTAATAGAAAAACATTTAGTGATACCCTATTTATCATAAGGTTATAACCATACTTAAATTGATATCAGAATTAAAGCATCAATTAAGGAATCATGATATACGTGTAAATATTAAAGAGTTTCAACTATCAACATTTAAACTTAAAGGACAATATTGGTGCCAGTCATTATCACATATGTGATAGAGCTGGTTAAACACATTTCAAATATAATTTTATCTCAGAGATCATTGCTACGATAGCTGGGTAATACAGTTTTTCTAAATCGGAAGTGACGAACGCCAAAGGAAAACACGAGTCATTTCTCTATATAACTGACTGATGTGACGAATGATAACGGATAGACAGGCGAATTTCTGCTCACTAATAATTCCTTCGGAGACCAAAAGTTGTTATATGGGACTGTAAGAGGATACCTGACAATTCAATAAAGTAATTGAATGTCATTAGATAAGAGAACAGAAATAGAAATAGTCCGTACATTCCCTTGTTTATATTCATTCTATACCTTATAAAAACATGATAATGCACAGACTTTTTCTGTTTTTCTTTTGTGTTCACTTATCTAGTGACAGTCAATTCTTTTTATGAATTGTCAGATATCCTCTCACAGTCTCACACAACAACTTTTGGTCTTTGAAGGAATTATTAGTGAGCAGAAATTCACCCGTATATCCGTTATCATTCGTCACATCAGTCAGTTATATAGAGAGGTGACTTGTGTTTTCCTTTGGCGTTCGTCACTTCCGATTCAAAAAACCTGTATTACTTAGCTATCGTAGCAATGATCTCTGAGATAAAATTATATTTGGAATGTGTTTAACCAGCTTTATCACATATGTGATAATGACTGGCACCAATATTGTCCTTTAAAAACACTAGGTACTGGGTCAATATGACTCCATCCCCTACCTAGGGCTATGAAGCAATTAAATCAGGAAGATGTTGAAAAGTGACTATATGTTGCCACATTTTACTCCCTTACATAATCCAGTTTATATACATTCATATTACATTATCATATCTGTTGCGACCCATTTGTGTCCATTTCTAGGTACCAAATATTAGCGGTTTAGCTCCTTTAATATATCAGATTCAAGATAATAAATCAGGGAATTCATCCATGTATTATTTGTTAATTTGTAATGATTATTCAGATTGATATTGCTGTTGGAAGTTGAATGGTTAAAAAATCGAATTAAAAACTAGTCAGTGCATCAAGGATTTTAATGGGTGTATCAACAAAAAGATTGATTTTCAGGGCTAAAATAACACTTGAATATTTATATACCTTTAATAGCTGTCCTAAAGAAACATTCAAGTCAATCTGTGCTCTAATGAATACTTTCTGATTATCTTCATATTCTGAAAATGAAACGATAACATAGATCTTGTTTTTTAAATTGGTAAGATAGAAAATCAATCAAATATTATCAGATTTCCTTTAAAGATACATTGTCCCAAAAGTATTTATCGGGTGGTTATTTCCAATAAAAGTATGGCAAATTTGGTATATATGGAAAGTATAGACCCCCAATCTCACTAGAAAAATTTTGGATTACCCGAAAAACACCCATGGGGAAAGCACTGGACAAAAATGTCAGGATATCACTAACTTGCTGCAACGTGACTGTTGTCTGCCAGCTTATTGTGTGCTAGCTTGACTGAGGGAGTGATTGTTATTTCTTGATCAAATGGTTAGGTGGTTTTGGGAACATTAAGGGGAGTCAACATACAAAAGACTGCAATTTAACGGGGGGAAAAAGTAGTCGACAGAAAATAATTAAGGATTTACTTAGACCCCAATACGTATGATACATTCTGAAGAATGGACCCTCCCTCAATGAAATGAGCTGACTGACATGGCTTCTAACAACAGTTTATTTATAGCTTGCAGTATCTCTCGATGAATACAAAGTTTTGAGAGGGATTTGAAGCAAATTTTTGATAGATTAGTCTGAATATGTTTTTAGTCCAAATATATCATCAAATCAAACAGTTTTTACACAGGAAAGTATCTTTAAAGTAGCAATATTGTTATCAATTTATAGAAATGAACCGCATCAGGTCTTTGCATGGAGTTAAGAAATGTTATATTATGGTTATCTACAATCTTATTGAATCTTATAATCCTCTACATTTCTCTTAAACAACGTTTGAAAACTGTCTTAAATTAGTAGTCTAACAAAATAACAGTTGTTTACACTTCAGTGGCGTTACAATGGGCATTATTTAAAAATACAATGATTAAAATATCTTTGCTTGCACTTTTTGCACTATCTATTAGGATGATAATGTAATTATGTAAGATATTTTACCTATATCAGGATTAAGTTCTCTAGAAGCCATCTGTACTCTATTAGACATTTCTAATTCTATTTCACCTGTTTCTAATCTTACAGCATTAGATGTTGGTGTTGTAGCTGTTACTTGTATACCCTGCTCAAGGAAAACACTTAATATTATAATATAATAGAAAACAGATTTAGCAATCTTCTCATTCAAAAAAGAAACATTGAATAGATTATAAAAATTTAATTGAAACGGCTACTTTACCTTAAATCTAACAGAGAATGAATATAGTAATGGTTTTCTTGGTGTAGGTGGTGCTCTTGTTGATTGGTCGTCTGCCCACAGATGAACTGGTTGATCTGATCCTGATACTTTCTGTACAACTTCGTTTACTTCCTATATATGATATAATAAATAAAGAAAAATTTGTATATTTGTAATGAAATGAACACATGTGATAACTTCAAAGCTTGTTTCATTAGCATGATAAAACATGTCACACTTTCAAATGGTGTAGCAAAATTGACAGATATTTTGTATAAAAATGCACTGATTTTAGTCCATTTAAATTTTTAAATTTATTTAGAAAATAAATATAATCAAATATAGCCAGTGTTGTCCATTTCTGGTGATTTCAATGGGTAGGTTCACAAGATGGTCTGGTACAAAGACAATAATAACACTACAGTCGCAGTTCTTATGTCTATGATTCAATGAATGATTGTACTTGTTGGTGACAAAAGTTTGTTTCAACCCAATTGATCTATAGATTGTCTGTTGAATTAACTGGACGAGTAGGCCTGTCATCCTTCGGTTATGTGTATTTGTTCAGTGAGTAGCTCCTTTTGACAAGATCGCCTCTGGACCGGTTTGATTTTATGGTAACTCTCTCATGGTTTTGCCAAGATAATATCTTCTATTAAAGTGGTGGTTTCGGAATAGTATAAATATAAATAAAAACCCGCCACGTGAGTCCAATCAGTCTGAAAAGTTCATTACGAACGAAACTAGTCACTGACACCTGGGATAATCAGGTTTCCATAGCCACTCTTATCTCTTATATTTACATAACCGTCTTCATTAGCCCAGTCGGAGCAGAACAGGAGGATGTTAAACCACATTTCATTTATATTTACATAAACCCCTATGTACTGCTCATAAGTCTTAAGTTAAAATGCCTATCATTCAGTAACAGCTTAGCAATTTTTTCTCTTATCGAACAGACTCTAATTATAACATGTCAGCTGTAACAGTAAAGTACCATGTCCCTTTGATTGCGTTTACTTAGTCATGAAATGCTTTTATTTTATTAAGTTATTTTCACGATTTACGTTGATGATCAGATATATGTAAAAATCTAGTTTACAAACCTTCATAAAGACTTTTTGTACAAATACGAGATGATTTAATAGATCAGTTGTTAAACTATGTTCCAACATTCCAACTTCAGCTACAGCATTTAAATAACTTCCTTCTTTCAAAACTAAACCCTCAGTTAGTGTATCTGATACTGGTCCTCCACTTCTATATGTACGATAATCAGCATAAATATGTATAGGTGGCATCTCTATACTAGCAGATGATGGTATAGATGTCTCGGTAGTTGTTACCTGATCAAATAAATTACAACATTTATAATACTATAAACAAGATCAAATACAATCTACCACCAATTATATTAATTTCAAAACAAAATAAATAAACTATTAATAATGATGATCAATATCAGTGATAACATAACAAAAGTGTAATGATCTGATAGTTCAACTATAGTCTATTACTTCTTTAATCAGTTAATTTATGAAAAGCGTGCCACACTCCAAAAATCACAAGTACTATGACCAGGAATATATTGTTTTATAGAAAAAAAATCATCAATAGTTGCATAAAACAATTAATCATTACAATTTGGCCATCTGAATAATGATGTGGGCTATCAACGTGTGTCCCATAGTAAACATGCTAATGCTAGAGAATTACTTTAATTTCTAATTACCTTTGATTTAAAACTGAGAGTATGTTTTGGTAATACAACTGTAAATCTAGCTTTCTTCCCTGTCATGCCAGCAACTGTTATACATCCTGTCTAAAAGTATCAATAAATAATAGTGTATATTTGAAGGGCAGTGGCTATTGTTACGAGTCGTAAAAATAGTCCTCAGACTATTGTTACAACGATGCTTTCACAGCCCTCCATTGGCGAAGTTAAAAACTGAATAGTCATAAAAATAGTCCTAACCCTAAACCTAACCCTTCCCATCTCTTAATTGCTGCCTTCAGTTCTGAAAACGTTGAAAATACTGCTCCTTTTTCAAAGCTGGTGTTGGGGAGATTGACAGCCATTTTGGAATTCGTTCTAAACTTGGCTCAGACTCGTCGTAACAATAGCCACTCTGTATTTGAAAACCTGGTCAGATTTTTGATCTGGTTATTTTAACTTTTGGAGAGTAGTTCTCAAAAACAAGCTAAGTTATAGATGTGGTCCTCTGCCCACTAGTTTATCAACTGTATCAAAATCCATTCATTAAAGATACATTATGGAAGATGATATTAAGAGCTGCCAGTTCTAACTATAATAGTTAAAAACTAGATAATATAAAGGGGATATGCAGAAAATTTCAGTCAAATTGCTCCACTCTGAACCGAATTACAAGCAATTGAAATTTAGTCCTAGACTCGACCATCATTACTAAAGTCGGTACGATAAAAAACATTGTCTCGGTTATCCATTTTTGGATTTAATCATGAATGAGAGCTGAGTAGCAGAACGGATTCAAATCCAATGAAAATCCGACACATAAGATGCCATCGAGAGTTGATTAAGGTCTTTTCAAGTTAATAAATGTCCAATTAATAGTTTAGATAACATTTTAGGCCTAAAGAAAGACCTGCAATAGGAAGATTTAGCTCTTGCATAATGAATGTTTAAAGGAATGTTATTGAGTCTCAAAGAATAACCAATTTGATTACACTAAAAGTAGGCCAATAAAATATGCATGAATGGGACGGTTGTTCAATCTTATGCAAGAGACAAATATATTTCAAGTCTTACCCAAAAAATTTAATTAGAATTCAAACTTATTGTGTTGTACACAATTGATCAATGAGAAACTAGTAAGCCAATTGAATAGATAAGCCCACAAATGGTGGCAATGTTCAAACTTGAGTGAGTAATGGTATATATTATTAGTTTTATCAAAATCTATGAACTAGAAGTAAAGTTACTGCATTTCAAAGAATCAACTAATCCGATTGTAGTGAGCCTTGAAATATGCATAGGGTGCACATAGCTCTACAAACTTTTAACAATGGTATAATAAAAGCACCTATATAGTAAAAATAATTACCTATTGTTGAGGTTTAAATTTTGAAGTTCCAATAGTAAAACCTTGAATGCTAAGGTTTTAGTATTGATAATATTGAAGTGCCAATAGAGAAAATTGTAATAATAACCAATGTTGAGTTTTTAGTGACAGTAATATATAACCCCAAAATATGGCATTAATTACCTGATTTTGAACTTTAAGGGATGGTAATTAGCAGACCCAATATTGATGGTAATATATAGAAGTCCCAATAGTAACACTTTGTAATAATTACCTTATGTTGAGCTTTAAGGGATGGTAATATATATGGAAGCCCCAATAGTAAATAATTGTAATAATTACCTTCCATTGAGCTTTAAGGGATGGTAATATGGAAGTCCCAATATTAAATAATAATAATAATTACCTTATGTTGAGCATTAAGGGATGGTAATATGGAAGACCAAATAGTAAATAATTGTAATAATTACCTTATATTGAGCTGTAAGGCATGGTTAGAAGCCTCAATAGTAAATAACTGCAATAATTACCTTATGTTGAGCTTTAAGTGATGGTAATATAGAAGCGCCAATAGTAAAACCTTGTAGTACAGCTTTAAAATGGATGTGTAGTGCTACTGGTTTATCTTTCTCTAGCCTTTTAGATCTATTTAACTTTTCATCTAATTTCTTTTCATTTCGTATGGCTTCACCACTTATCTGTTCCATAATATCTTGAACTTTTCTATAAAATACATTTAATAATATTATTATATCTAAACATAGAACATAATCATACATGTATCATTTTACTGACTAACTGACCATACGTACCCACCATCATGCACAAATATATCAAATAAATATTTTATTTTTGCATATAGACATATATTTGTTAAAACCTTATATGCCAGAAGACCAATACTCATTATTCTTATTGTCATTTGACAGTAATTCAGACAATTTTAACAAAAAACACAAGTCTCTTACCAGTTTGATATTCGTGGAGAGAAATGTGTTTATCCTTTGGCTTTGGCGGACGTGTCTGAGATGATAATGATAGAAGCATGAAACCAATAGAAAGTAATGTGAATTTTATAATTATTTGGACCAATATGCTTTAATTATTAAGATTATTTCTATAAACTTACCCAATACGAGACAGAGGTCGACGGAACTCTTGTAAAGTTGAAGTGAGTTTTTTGGAACTGCGAGTCATCATCCCATGTAAAACAACAGGATGTTGTGGTATATCAACATCTATAACACCGACAGATGCTAGAGCTGAATTATGTTCTTTACTTCGTCTCATTACTGTTGTATGAAGAGCTTGAGATTTGCCTATATTCACTGTTACAACAGTTCTAAAATAATAATATTTATACTTAGGCCATACACTAAAAATCAATGCTCTCTTTTAAGGTAACCTTTCTGATGCAGCAGGGACGTTTATCTTTTGTCGAAGGATTGTGTGGTTCAACATCTGATTTCAAGGTTCTACATTTACCTAATCATTTGTTCATAAACAGGGCCCTCACAAAGGAGGAGGCAGAGGGGGGGGCGCGACACGTCGGGGGGGGGGGGGGGGAAGGGTGCAAATTATCTAAGTGCATACCAGAAATATTCAAAGAGAAACTGTTGCCCTGGGGCGCCACATAGGCTTGTGAGGGTCCTGTTTATGAAGGTTATTTACAAGAATACTTATTATTTCTTATGTTACATATATTAACTTTTATGTTACTGTACACTAATCTGATCACAAGTTTATTTACAATCAGTACCTGTAATTCTAGTGTTACCTCCTAGTAACAGGGAAAATATGAAAACAACGAGGATGTTTTTATTTTTTAAGTAACAAGGCAATATTTGAGATCCTGAGTAAATTTTTTTTATCACCTAGAATTTCAATAATTTATGGAAATTGTTTGCCACACCTAACAATCCTGCTTTATGTCAGGTGTGTAAACTGGAAGATTCAATGGAAATGGTTTTTTTTTTTAACTCACTGCATGTTTGGTGGTACACCTTCTAATAACACTATCATTGTGTGACCGACATGTGCTGTAAAGGATGATTCAGCTGACTTCCTATGAACAAAACCTACAAAAGATTTGGAATTCAAATATAAGAACAGATCTAATGCTAAAATTCTAGGTTAGATAGCTGTTGTTAATTTCAGGACTATCATATGACATATTATCATTACAATGTGCACAAACCTTTACTACTGCAGAAAACCCATGAGACCGATTCCATGACTTTTACAGTCCACATGTTTAATCACTCAGTCAACCAATCAAGATGTTAATACAATTTGTATTCTTACGTGATTCATCAAATACATATAATGTCTTCACATAAAAACGTTACCTTTGACCTTTTCTTTATAAGTACCGCTAGCATGAACTTTTCTTAACTCTGCTTCTAATTTTAATCCACTTAATACAGCTAACATCTGTACTCTTTCTACTTTAGCTATACCATACACAACTAATGGTATACTTTCTCCAATATAGATACCTATATAATATATTTTATATGAAAAGTTAAAGATAACTACTCTTAGGTATTAAATACACAAAAATATAAAACATGAACTAAATGTTGTTTACCTGAAGAGCTTAATAAAATAAGCGAAAGTGCTAGTAATCAACAAATAATGTAGTTCTTTTTTTCAAAAACTTTTATATTTTTATGTTATATATTTTATATAACACAATTTATGGATATTAAAAGTGGCATAAGACCTAAGGTAGAATTACGGCATTATTATTATGTTTAATTTTGAAACATTGAAACTGTGTTAAACTATACTGCTGGGATTTACTATAGAACCTTGCTGACACCCACCACTGAAATCTGCCTTGTACTACATCAATTGAAACCTTTGTGTTGAAATTCACTTACTGGCCCCACTTCACTTACTTTGTTTAAATCTAGTTCTAATGAAAGATGTTTGTGCTAATGGCGGATGATCACCAAGACGACTTTCTTCATCAGCCACCACATCAACACGAGCTTTAGCTTCACCATCCTCAGTCACATCTTCACATGGTGTGGTTTCTCTCTAAACAGAAAAATAAACTTTCCAGTTAACATGATATAAATCATGAGCAAGATTTAACTCTAGAGCATTCCTAATTAAATGCACAATAAGCAAGATGTCAATATTATAATGTAAAGATTCATTGTACTCTATAATCTAACAATTTCTAGTATAAAAGTCCTTTACATTTATTCTGGTTTGGGACTTTTAGTGAAAAAAGAATAATTCTTTGAATGATAAATATTTTTACTCCAAAGTTATCAACTAAAAAGATTAATATCATGACAATCTTTTCCTTACTTTTGATGCTCCATCTTTTTCGGGTTCTTCTTCAATAACTGGTAATAATTTCTGAATTCCTGGTTTTCTGAGAACTGTTTTAGTTTCAGGCATTGTAGAATAAAGTTCCAGTAGATGATACAGATGTCTCCAACATCTTGGTGTACTTTCTTTAATTTCATCCACAATAGTTTTCTCTGCTAGGGCAGGAGACGAGGTATCCACCATGTCAATAGTTACTGTGTCACTTAGATTCAAAGATTGGGGAGGGGTAAGAATCTCAGATTGTTGTCCAGGAGTCGAGTCTTTCTTACTTTTATCTCTTGCAAATCTGAGATGTGGTTTCTTTATAGAGGAGAAAGACAACCTTTCTGGTCTGATGTTTTCCATTGGTAATTTGAAAGATGGAGTGTTTTTGGAACGGGTTAAAGTTTTGTCTCCAGCATCAGAAGGTGTTTCAGATCTTGTGCTATGAGTTGGAGTTGAAAGAGTCACTTCTGCTTGATGTTCTTGTTTAGAAAGATCTGATTGTTGAGTATCAGCACTAGAAGTTGAATCCTTAGACTCTTGTTTTCTGTGAGTCTTTGTCCATTCTCCTAGCAGACTTGGTCGTCTTTTCTTCAGTTCTACTTGAGTGTCCTTGATGTTGTCCACCATTGTGACAAACTGATGAACCAGCCTCAACAATGACATATCAACATGTTGTGTTATACGCTGACAATTGATTAGAAAATTAACTTGCAGTGTTGTTGGTTTAGCTTCTAACTTGTGCATGGCAAATTTCCATGGATTTGATTTTCCTTTTTCTGGCATAAATGATTCTTTTGCTCCAAAATCTATAACATCCTTCATGCAGATATTGATGCCAAATCCTTCACATTGAAAAGCTGGTGTGGAAGCATTAATATTCAATCTGAATCTTTTTCCCTTTCCTTTGCTTTTACTCTTTCCTCTTGATTTAGAATCTTCTGATTCTGCTATCTGTACTTTTAGAATTTCCAGATGTCCTTGCAATAAAAGATGACCACCAAACTTTTTCATCATAGCAGATGGTCTAACTCCTTCAACATGTAAACCAAGACTTTGAAGCAATGGTTTGAATAGCATCTGAGCATCTGCCAACTGCATGATAGAAGTTGCCATGGTGACATTATCTTCATTGATATCTGTGCGACTTTCATCCTGACTCCAGGAACTGCCCAGCAACCAACCTTCATGAGCTTTGCCATAATTAGAATCTTCATCAAGTGGCATCTTTAAATCTTCTTGCTGTTTAGCCATCCACTGATACAGATCCTCGCTTTTATCATATCGATTTTTCAAAATGGACTGCTTAGGACCCATTTGTCTCATTGGTGTTGGGGGTGGGGTTGGCGCTATTCCAGGTTCTGAGCTACATAAACTTTCAGGTACTGATGCAAAACTCTGGGTACTTTCATTACGAGTCATTAGTAGGGTGGGAAGAGGAGCAGATACATGTGGTTTCCTTTCGGGAGAGTCAACACAGCTTAGGATGTGAGGCAGACCTCCTTTTGATCCTTTCTTTGTTAATATAGATGCTATCTTTTTATGTCGGATGGAAGCTGTAGAAACTGAGCTGATTCCATCATGAGAGGCATCTGGTTGAGAAAATGCTTTGTTAGCAAGGCTAGGATTAGAACCAAATTTATGAACAGATCCTCCCTCAGCTTGTAGAAGTGAAGTTTTTTCATCAACAACGTCAAACTGATCAATTACACCATCACCATCATCAATATAAATATCAGTACTTTCTTCATCTCCTGGCAAAGCAAAAGTTACATTGTAGGGACGAACATTTTTCTTGTTTTTAAAATTCAGTTCTGATAAATATGGCATGTACAAAACATTTTTCCATTGTCTGGTTAAAGCTAGGATTCCTTTCTGCATTGTAATTAAGTTTGGAATGGTTTCAGAACTGACTGACTGTTCCACAGATGAGGTACCATATTTACGAAGATATTTTCTGAGTACTGTGAGTAGCTGACAAGATGGTTCCTCTTGCAAGGTCTTGGACAAGTTTGTGGCTTTGCCAAATTTGGTCTGAAAAGGAAAACAAAATATATTTCTTAAAATCAACAAAACGACAGCACAAATGCAAAATTTCACAACTAATAAGATCTAATAAACTATGTTATGAAGCAAATGTACTTGGTGAAGACACTTGGTGACTTTTCTGTAAATTAATACCATCTGGATATTGTCAGCATTTGTACAGCTAGTGATGCATCTAACATACCACCACAAACCAACTGGTTTAATCAGTTCCAATACACTAATGTGATCATTGTCATGCTGGAATATAAAAAGTGTTTTGATTTATCTCCAATTTAACAAACCTTATTACAAACATGAATTCCCTGAACTTCCAATGCTTCCGTCATAATACAGGCTATTACAGAACTCGTTCTGTGTGTCAATACTCGAACTAGATTCCTTACAGCTACCATAGCACGATCACTAGGATTCATCCAGGCATTTATAGATGGAGTAGCTGTACTCAATAAATTCCAATCCATCCTACAAATATAATCATTATAGCGTGAATACAATAGGGTAATAATTTTTAATTTAATAATATCCATTTTTACCCCTATACTGACTGTTCTTGAAAATTATATGAATATAACTGACTTTTCAAAAATGCTCAGAATCAAGTCCATCATTGACCACCAATATTAAAGGACACTGTTGGTGTCCAACAACACTACATCTGTGATAGAACTTGTGAAACATATTTCAAATATAATTTGAACACAGAGATCATTGCTACGGTAGATGCGTAACAATGATTTGAAGAAACAGGAAGTGATACAAAAGTATTTATATACAAAAATAAAACAAATACTGGAAATAAGGCACCTGTCACAGACAATGTCAGACACAGATTCAGGCTTTGTCAGGCACAAAACCTCTGGTGCCTGTCATTTTGTCCGGTGCTGATGTCTTTTTTATTGATATTATTACCGGCACTAAGTTGAAAATGTCAGGTACTATTGCATTAGTGCCTGACATATTGTCAGGTACATCTAAAACCGTTATTTCCAGGCCTGCTGGCAAGGGATGCCAACTCCTAACATGGGAAGTGGTATGACATGTTTTGGAAAGAGTAAACATCGTACACAATGCTGACCACTACTAATTAATCAGACGTTGATTTCATGAGCCGTTGCTACTACACATCTGGCATACTAAAATTCTCTGTATAACCACACCCACGAAAAGGAAAATTATAAAGGGGCTTAAAATTAAAATATACAAATCAGGTCTGAAATTCAATCTGGATAGGCTACAAGCATGGAATTATTTTTGTTGTTGATGGCAAAGGAATAAAGATCACATTCATACAGTCGCATGCAGAATTGCTATTTGTAATCTACATGGTGTAGTCTGTAGAATTATGATTCACATGTCTTTGTAATAATTGAGCTGAAAATCGACCGTGTATCTGTTATAGCTCTCTACTCCAGTCAGTCCTGTTTCTTCACATCTTTGTTACGCATCTACCATAGCAAAGATCTCTGTGTTAAAATTATATTTGGAATGTGTTTAACCAGTTCTATCACATATTCTATATCAGCTGAAACCAACATTGTCCTTTAACTATTCCTAAAATTTGGAGTGAACAAAAGTACTTTAAGTATAGCTGGATGAATCAACAGAGGCAATAGAAATATACAGTATGATTACATTAACATGTGGGGGCCATATCGTATATTGTAGGCACATGAAAACTGTCTTATACAAAATCACAATATACATATACATGTAGATATCTAATATACACAAAAGTAGTGTTATAATATAAGGCTGTATGTGATCTGTGTATTTTAGCACAATCGGTTAACTTATAATGGATCTATCGAAGTCAGTGCTCCAAATTTATGGAATTCTACATCAAACCAAACTAAGAGCTCAAATTCTGAGAAATGCCTCAAAACCATACTTCTGAATCAAACATAAAACGGATTCAATATGGTTGTAGCGGTGTTGTTTCAGTAATACATCATGTTTCTGTGATCTAGAACCTACCTTGTGAAATCTACCTTTTTCTTTATGGATATAGGAGGTGGAGCAGCAAAGTTCAGCCATATTGTTTTGAGATCTAACCTACCATTTGAGGCATCACCTTTTAAGGGTTCAATATTAATTTCTAATGGAATAACATCTGATTCATCAGACTTAAAAGATACTCTTGAATTCCATGAGGAAGACATTGATAAGGAACTATGATGGGCAGATGGAGAACTATGAGGCAGTGGATCATCTGTTGGTGATGTACTTGGATCTGTCTGTTGTTCTATTTGTTCTTTAGTAGTTTCCTGCAGATTTTGAAGTGTCTGCTCAATATTATCCATTTTCTGTTGAAGCTGGAGGTCAGAGTCTGCTTTGTATCCCAGTCTCCTGACAGCCGTCACAGAAACATCTTCCAGACCACATTCAAACATTATAAATCCTATTATGAAATCAGGATCATTGGATTCTCTACTAGCTTGTCGAGACAATCTGCGTCGGGGTGATCCAGGCATACCCATGGGACTAGTGACAATCACTTCCGGATTAAAAGAAAACAATACATTAGATCGGTAATCAGGAATCGCCGTCAAAATGATGTTATCTGAGAAATTACTTTCTTTCACCAAGCGTCTCAGTTGAGTATGGATTCTAGAAATTTGAAGGATGCCCACATTTTCTTCACGAGTAGCTTCAGAAGGACCAGTTTGTTCTTTATCAGATTCATTGACATTCACTTCTGATTTGATCTTGTTTGTCCCATGACCGGATGCTGGAATCATTATTGGTGGAGCACTTGCCCGTCTGCCACCAACATCTCCAGTGTTAGTGTCTGGTAGTATTTTACAGGAATGAGTATTGGTGAGGAGTTGACACTTAATGTTATCTACACAGACAGCAAGCAGAGATACAGCTGTCACATCACTTATATTTTCTAACATGGAGAATGATATAACCTCCTCAACGATAGAAGCTTGTAGTACACAAATATTGATCTGAAAAATAGTCCAGTTTCATAAATTTAATATACTTTTGTATTCAGCTGAACTAATAGCCAATAAGACTCAATCATCTCGTCCAACCATATCTCATATAATGATATATATCTTGGGACTGGATTTGTTCTTGAGGTATCAGTCTAATGATCACAGTATGCAATAAGAGAAATAGATTTTTGAAGATCAAGTACCATTTGTGTCAGTTTCTTAACATTATCATGCATACCATACCAACCTTAAAACTAAAATGTCTGCCATTTCCAAGATAAATGTATATGTCACACACCAATTTAAAGGTCTTTGAATAAATTAAATATACTATTATGACTAACCTTTGGGAGAGAGAAAAAAGCTCTGAAAGAGGTAGTCTTTGCCACTTCCTTATTATCTTGTTTATCTTCGGTATCATTGATATTATAGATTACATTTTCTTCTTCTTTAGTTGATTCTTTCTTTAATTTGTTCTGTTGTTTTAATCTATCTATACACTGTGAGTGGATTCGATCTAATAAAGACGATATATGTAACTTGGATAAAGTTGGTGTTACTGTTTCTATATACCTGTAAAATACAAACTTCCTTTAGGATCATTTTAAAATAATGTGTCATGACATATCCACTCGTATAAAATAAAAATAGATATAATTTGATCTCCACAAATGAGAATCGGTATGTGGTAAACATATAATGCTTTGTGCATGAAACCCATCTTTCTACATTTACCTTTGCATGGATTCAAGAAGCAATGGTGTGAGTAAAACATCTAAGGCTCCTGTAACTTTTATGACAGCTGTTGTTTTCGATGTATTTGGACATATCTCATCATTATTTAATTCTTCATCTGCATCTAAAAAACATTATTTCTACTTTTAACAACAACAATGTTAATGGATTATGTTCAAAGTTACCAAGTTCTGGACATAATCCCGCTAATATAAAATACGGACAAAGTCTGATCACTTTCTACTTTCTAGACTCAACCATTTTTTATGTAAACAAACATACAACATCCTACCTGTTAATAAGGGCATACATACTCCACAACTGAGCAATAGTCTCAAGTTAGCAACTGTGAGACTATGAAGTCATTCTGCTCAATATACCACTGTGATAACATCCTTACTTAATACTGTTATACAATTCTAATTCATAGATCGGTCTTTAAAACAATAAATTTAAGGAAAATCACCAGAGATCATTAAATAAATTTGTATTGCTTGTTGTTTATTTCCTATAAAAAGTACAGAAAATGACAATGTTTCAAGGAATTAATAAGTACTGGTACATAATTGAGAACAAACCCTACCTTCTTGATTTGGTATATAGCTAGAAGGGAAAAAGAATTGATTTTTTCCCTTCTCCGGTGGAGGTGGAGATGGTAGTTTGAGTTCCTCCTTCTCCCTCATTACAGATGTACTGAAACCATCTTTAACTTTAGTAAAATGAGGCAGCCATGTTGATCCAGATCCATAGACAGAATGACTAGCAGATGACAAAGAGTACTCTGAATAAACTGATTTCATTCCCCGACTACTGGAACTTGACAGATTAGCAGATGGCGGAGCAGTAACCCAGTCATTGCAGTGATAATGTGACAAGTGATTAGAGTAGCAGGAGAGCAGCAAAGCAGAGCTGGTAATTGGTTGGTTCATCTGATTATGAAGATCAACCAATGAAAATTCTTCCTGTCCTTCTGCAGAATTGACACTTCCTGCTGACTCATAGGACAGTGTGGAAGAACTGGAAGATTCTAATGTAGTGTCTGACTTATTCATGCGGACAGTTTGTTCCAATACGGTTGTAGCCATGCTATTATTATTTTCACCTTTATCTGATGAAGGAGAACTCTGTATGAAACTATTTGCCGAATCTAAACTATGATCGTCATCAAAAACTGAAAAATGTACAACTGAATCTTGCTCAGAACTTGTGAGATCTTCCTCAGCCGAATAATACTGCTGACTCTCTAGTGATACAGTGGAGGTCATTCTTGTAATACCATCAGTAGAGTGAACTGATATAGGACTAGGAAGGGATGTCTTTGAGGATGATTTATTGACACTGCTGAATGATGTCCGACTACCAAGTCTCCCACTAACAATAGGTGAAGATGGATTACTATATGAAAGAGATGTTTTACCTAGTGCCTTTGAATCGGGACTGTGTTTACCAGTCACGCCTGATTCTGATGAAACATCTGGTGTAATTTTGCACGCTGGTTCCAGCTTTTCATTAGGATCGTACAATTGTGTTTTCGAATCACTAGAGAAACTGACTTCTCCGCTATGTCTTTTAGATGTACTATCATGTTCACTGATGCTACCAATAATGCTTGAGTCAAAGATTTTAGAAATGGGATCTCCTGGAGTGTCTGGACTGGCGATGTCACTCATATAGCCTCTTGTAAATGAAAATTCTGTAGGTGACGTTTTAGTTGGTGATTCTCGATGAATATTTTGGCTCACATCAAAAACTAACTTATCTTTGTGGAGGAGACTCTGTGCAAAACCAGGATCATGTCCATCACCACAGACTTGAGGAATAGCAGCATGTGACGTTTCTCTGTGTCGTCTGCTTCTAAAGAAAGCAACTCCATTTTTGTTGTTACCAAAGAATCTACAACCTCCTTGACAACCACACTTTCCTAGTGTGTGAGGATGATTCCCTGGACCCATGGCTTCCAGTGGCCACATAAACCATAACCGTTTTGTTTTTCTGTCATGGGTTTTTAGGAAAGTGTCTTGCACTAGCTGAATCTCAGGACTAGGAATAGCCATGGCTGCTTCCACATTAATAGGACCGAAGGAAAAGCTACCAGCTTCGAGCCACACTTCAGGACTTCCATGTTCAACACGAAGAGGGACACACGATATTAACTGTCTAAAAGAAGCATGTTCTACAATTGCTGTTATTCCAGATCTGGTTTCATTACCATGAAGATTACATGTAGACAATCGGACTGGATTCAACTGAAATTACAAAACAGCTTAATTAAGCAATGAAATCAGCATTAATTTGAAGTAGAACTTGAAATAGAGTAAAATTATTGACTCATTAACACTTTACAACTTTAGATTGTAAGTACTGGTAAATATGTACTATACTATTCAAAAAAAGTAGGGGATATTTGATTTTGGGGGCATAATACTAAAATATGCAAATGACTACGAAAAAAGTCACTATAGAACCTAACAGAAGAAACATTTCCAGTTACATGTGACGCCCAAACGCACCAATAGCTACCGCATGGAATGCAGGTGATGCTTGGGATCATCATGGGGGTCCAACCCAAGATTTGCACGACTCTGACTTTGAATGTTACAGTCATTGTGGTATTGAATTCCAGGGTGGAAACATCAGTTTAATTGTTTTAGTGACCAGAAAACAAATTTTGATATGCGTCGGCTTACCCAAAATGAAAGGTTACGTGCCCTTGGCATGCTACAGATCGGCACAACACAGGCGGTTGTGGCGCGGACGATGAATGTTTCTCAGTCTGTCATAAGCAGGCTATGGTCCATATACCGTGATACACAATCTGTACAGGACAGACCACGCTCAGGTCGACCAAGGGCGACAACTCAAGCCCAGGATCGATTATCCGTACCTTGGCCTTTAGAAATCGTGTCATCACAGCAAATCAGATCAGCGCTCGTCTTCGCGCCCGACGTCCTCGCGTGATCCCTTGTTTGAGAGATCATCACATTCAGGCAAGACGTCGTTGGTGTAGGGATCGTCAACACTGGGATAATCGACGCTGGAGCAATGTGATGTTTTCAGATGAGTCAAGGTTCACTGTTGATTTTTTGGACAGACGTAGGAGGGTGTGGCGTCGTCGAAACGAGCGCTTCCAAGACGTTAACGTCATCAGACATGATCGATTTGGGGGTGGTTCTGTTATGGTGTGGGGAGGCATCACTGTTGCTGGAAGAACGGCTTTACATGTTGTTGCAGGGCGTGTTACAGGCCAGTACTACCGGGACAACATCTTGGCAGTCCATGTTGTGCCGTTCGCACGACGTCATGGCCGCCGTTTCATCTTCCAGGATGACAACGCAAGATGTCACAGGGCCAGGATCGTTACAGGTTACCTCCAACAACAGAACATCACCACATTACCTTGGCCAGCACTGAGTCCCGACCTCTCCCCCATCGAGCATGTCTTCGACATGCTTGGACAGAGGTTACGTCAACGTCAACAACGTCCTGCCAATGTCCAAGAACTTGCTGCTGCGTTGCAACAGGAATGGGACAATCTGGACCAAAATGACCTTAGACGTCTCATTAGGAGTATGCCACGTCGGATCAATGCTTGTTTGGCAAACAGAGGAGGATTTACCCGTTACTGACTTGGTTGTGATGCTGTGGTAACTTTGCTGTTTGACCCCGGGTATCATTTTACCCTTATAATGGTCAGTCTGTGCCTTACTTAGTCTAACGATCATTTGGAATAAATCGATGAATGTGAACTTCATTTCATTTTGTCATTTGTTTCTTCGTCAGTTTCATTAGGTGACTTTAATAACACTTAAAAATCAAATATCCCCTACTTTTTTTGAATAGTATACAATATATTCACCCTTTGTTGCTATTTTACTCGGTCAATACATGGAATTTCGATAAGGATTTTTATAATAAGATATAGCAAATTAATGACATAAACTTTATTGGCGAGTGTGAAAATGCCTCTTTAAATGTATTAGTTTCATTATTACAATTTTACCTTTAAGTTAAAAGCTGCTCCAGATTCTACCATATAAATATTAACACTATCTATAGATACTCGCACCATTCTATATTTAATATCATCAGCAGATGGACATGGGAATGGACATTTAGGTAACATTCTACACTGTGTCTGAGGTAACATGTGTTGACATAATTTAAAAGGAACTGGATTCTGAAGATGATTTTCAGGATCTTCAACCAACATTACAAATGTCTGTAGAAACTCAGCAATATTTTGAATCTACAATAAAGAAATTAAACATTTTCTATATCAAAATAAGTAAATTCTAAGCCTTCTAATAAGCTTCTAAAACTTTTTTTTTATTTAAATCTAACAACATATCATTAATTTAGACAATTTTAAAAAATACATTGGTTTGATACAATCTTGGCCTCGATGTTTAGGAGTAGAAATAAGTCTGCTTCTGACATTCAAAAACAATTACTAAGGAATAAAAATGGTGGCAAGAAATCAACCGAAAGTAATAAGAACTTGGTCATAACTTGTGCTAAAATTTATCCATTACAATAATATTTGGACCAAAATGCTTTATAAGTATGATCTGAAGATCATATTTCCAATTTATTCTGGAATATTGTGCCTTTTAGAACATGAGAACAAAAACAGCAAATACAAAACACAATTTTAAAAAAAATAAATATCTCTGTCAATTAATTGTCATAATTAATATAATCATCTCCCGCTTAGTTCAATGCATAATGTCGACAAATAAAATTCAAATTTTGTTTACCTCGGGTGAAGTGAGTTTTCCAGTAACTTCACCAATAATAACCTCTACCAACCAGGCATACTCTAACGTTTCAGTGTCGAGATGTAAACCTTCATGTGAAAACATTGCATGACCTCTGACCTGTAAACCTGACAGGGCTAAATAACCTTCCTTGAGGTGGTCTTGATCCAGGTCACGAACTACATTATCTCTTGCTATTAATACACAGGGTGAGAGAAGTAGTTGTAGCTTTGTTTCTCGGTATGATTTATCCATCTCAAAACACAATCTTTCTACATGAAGACTAGGACATGGTACATCATCTACATTACAATTCTGAAATAAAATCATACAACATAATAGAGTTCAACTCCTAATCAAATCAACATAGATACCGGAACATTCAATCCAATCATTCCGGTTTTAATTTTAGTTTGCCTATACTATGTGAAGATCTAACTCCTTCTTTATAAATTCTCTCTTCTTTTAGAAGTCTCATCATAGCCAATATTATTGGTTAAAATCATTGGTTAGATGAAAACAAACGTCTTGTTATGGTTAGATTGAAATGAAATGAAATGAAGGGAATTTTTGACCGATGCAGCACTTTAAAATAAATAAAATGATTAGAATTTAACATCTTATTAACACAATAGTTCAATTAAAACAGACATTTTACCAGACAGAGAAGTAAATGAATTCCCAAGTGAACCAGTATTTATAATATTTATTTCTTACTGACCTTGACTAATTGAGCCTGTATATCATGTAGTGTAACAGACACGGTAACAGCAAATGGTCGATAGGCTCTCGGATCAAATTTATCTAATGAATCATCTTCTATACCAGTATCATGTACATGACCTGTATCAGCTTCACCAGTATCTGTTGGACTGTCAGAAAAATCATATATCTTCTGATCTTCTCCTACATAATTCTCCTAAAATATCAAATAAAACAATAACAATTTCATTTATACAACATCTCAACTTAAAGATACATTATGGGAGAGTTGGCCATTCTTGCTATAACAGTTCAAAAGTAGATGATGAAAGAAGAATATATTGAAAAACTCAGTCAAATTACTTTATTCTGAACCTAGTTATCATCGTTGTAATATTTGCCTAGAAATGGTAGCGAAATGTGTCTTCACCTTCACCGAAAGTTTGATTGACAGGCGTTAACTCCACCTACATATCTCGATTATCAAGTAAAGTTTTCAATGGCATACGGAAACGCTTTACAGCAGCCTCGCTAAGTACACTCTATCATTTAGCCTCGATCTAACTGACGTATTTTCATCAGGTTACCCCTTATTTGATTTAATCAATTAGGGAAATCCTATTTAAATCCGAGCTGTAGCCGAGTCATCCGTGGGTCTACAGAGTTGATTTTGGTCTTGTTGTTTAAATAAAGATCTAATTTATAATTTCTGTAACATCTGAAGCCTAAATTAAGACTTGCAATAATCAGATTTAGCTCTTGCATAATGCATGTTTAATTAAAGAGTTTAGTGTCTTTACAAGTATAAAATATTCTTCATTCGAAACAAATTCATTTCATAATACATGTAAAATGAAATAGTAACCAAGTATGTCATCTGTTTATCAACAAAAATACTGAAAACAAATAAATCTGTGACTGAGGACAGTTGAGTCTGACAAGGTCTGAATTTTCAAAAATCTTATGAACCTTCTAAACGAGAACAAGAAAGCACATGTGTTTTAAAAAAGATAAACATAACTCGCCTTTTGCCACCACAGCCATTACTATTTAGATTTCAATCTAAATGGGTCATATCAAAACAGAAATGAAAAGGATCAACTAATTGAAGAAGATAATAATACCTTTAGATGAAGTAAATTGACTAACAGGGAACCATATAAATATAATACAGATGGTGCTACTTCTAATTCTACATTCACTATATCTGGTTCCCATGTAGAGGCATCAAAATTCTCTGGTGCCACCTTGTTAGATTCTGTGGAATCTGATTTTCCTGGACGTAGTGGCTGTAATATTGTTTCTTCTTTCTCTGGTGTCGTAAGATCCTCCAGATCAGTCCACATTTTAAGCGATGATTCTACGATTGGCATGGGATGATAAGTATAGCTGATACTTAAAGAAACATTTGATGTCCACCAACAATCCACCCAGCCAGCACTATATAATATACAGAATAAGGAAGTATAACAACAATAAGGTTCTCAATCCTACTGATAACAATACATTCACATTTAATGTGGGAATATAAATAGTTTAAAGTGAACCATTAAAGTGAAGCATTTTCAAAAGAATGGGAATATTAAAACATTTATGATGAAAAATATAAGTTGATTTTTATACTATCATTTTCACTTATTTCAAGCATTTCACTTTACATGCCAAACTATTCTACATTATATTATTTTACCCAGACTTAAACATCTGCGTACCTTATTTGAGTAACCTTTCTCCACTGATTTACTTTGTTATAACCAAACGGACCATCAACTTCTATACCATCTCTATTTACTATCTTCATATTGTCTGATAACGCCAGTATAATATGTCTACTAGTATTACTCTCTGGTAAATATACTCGACAAAACACTGTTTCTCCCTAATAATTAGAAATATTACATGACAATATTAAAATTTAACACATGTATGTATAAATCTGTTGTTATGTACACATGCAAACAAAAACATTGAACTTTCTGAACAGACAGAAAGACTAACGCTAAAAGGATAAAATATTGAGCAATCAAACTACTTATCAGAAAATGCTCATTATCAAACTTAGTCAAGGTATTGATGCAAAGAAACATGGGTTGGGACAATCAAGATACATGTACAGTGTATGAAAAGTAATCCTTATATGAAAAAAAACATCATTGACTCGGGACATCATCTCTTTTAACAGATCGATTATCCCAGGTACAAGTGGTATAAAGTGCTACAGAAAGAAATCATATCTTACTATGTGCATGATACTGGTTATTACTTGTGGCTATTAAGATATATACTATTGTATAAATGTAAGCATTAAATAAATTTGAGAATTTATGTTATATATAAACTAGGGTACCTTTATCACAAGTGGTATAGCTATTGTATTGGGTAGAAAATCTGTAAATGGTAGTTGTACTGACAAATCAAAATATTCCCCACAGAAGGCTATCTGAGCTAAAAAAAAAAATAAGAAACGGAAATATTTCAAAGCAATATAAGTTATATCTATTTCTATAATTTATAATATATATTCCCAAATCATTAAATTGTTTAGTTCAGAAAGGATTAAGAGACCTGGGCATGAGACATCAAAATGTGTGCTTTTTACAGCGTATCTAAACCATGTAATAATTATTGTCTACAATAACAATTTACATCAACTACTATATTCATATTTATTTCAAATTTCAAATCTTAATCCATAAAAAAAATACTTCACTGAGAAAATAGTCACATGAATTGTGCAAATCAAGACTAATATATAGGTTCCAAAACACAACTGTGCACTCACCTAATGCCTTATGACATTAATGTTTAAAACCTACCATTTTCTGGTGTCTGTGATGAAGTATCTATCCAGTTATATTCATTAGTTGCAGCTATTAATTCAAACTCTTTAATAATCAGGTTTAAACTCCAGGTATATGGTACAAAACTATATAAATCTGGCCGTCCTTTACTAGACCAATCTTCAACTAAATCTGAACAAAAAATTTTCTACATCAAATCTTACGGTCAAAGTTATACATTAGTTCCATAGATAATATATTGATACAACACATGTCCATCAGCAAGGTAAATAAAAGTGCGAGGTATGTAGCACGAAAAACTTGCATTTTGTGGGGAAATGACTTCCAAAGGGAGGTACCATAAGAACACAAGACTGCAACTCCGTGCTTTTCAAGTTTTGATACCTTTTATAGATCTTCAAATGCCAGAAGTGAAAGATATTGACCGTTTTAATTTAGTGAAATGAGGTTTGTTACCTACCCTTAAAGAAATTCATATGTTCATATATGAGTGAAACTGTAGCTTTACAACCTGTAAGGTCTATTTTCCAATCTTGATATTCATTCCAAGTAATAGGATAATCTATTGTTACATCGAACTAAAAATATATACAAAAACATGATAATCTATTATTACAAATATAAACAACTTGGACTCAACTTCTTCAGAGATGTGTATTGCAAAGAGAAATTTCTGACTAGCACAAAGACATTAAGTACATAGAATTAATTCCTAAATAGCTTACTTTTGCTGTGCAGGGCACTCGTAAGTATTAATACATAGTTATGTTCTCCAAAGGGAGAAAATATCTCTGTAAAAGAGTGTGTTCATAAAGGTTCAAGTTTTACAAGATTATAGAATGTAATATTAGTGTTTTATGTAGAGAGAAAACTCTCCAAACAAGTGTATTATTACCTCTAATGTTTCAAGCTCAGCAAGGTTACGGAATGTCATACTAGTGGATGCATCTAATAACATAAGTTGACCTTTGATCTTAGTTTTATAGCCATCTTCATCGATCATCCACGGTATTATTGATTCTACATAAGATCCTTGTTGGGCATTAATATGAATTGCTTGTGTTACCTATAAAATCAAAAAAAACTCTCATTTTGTACTAAAATAAAATAAATGTTTAATATTTAATAGTATACTTGAACTACCAAAGTCTGTGATTCACAATAATTAATAGGTTAAAAACAAAAAAATTCAATTCTTGTTGCTCAGAATAAAGGATTAGCAGGACCGTCTTAATGCATGGACTTGCTGTCAATAAATCCATACTATACTTTAAATATTTGGGGGGGGGGGGGGGGGTTTAATGTTTAAGCACTGATTTTGTTGGAAAGTAACAATGCAATAATTAGATGTTTAATTCTATTGACCATATTTTTTTTTTTGTCTGTGAGTAGTTGTGTAGGTAGGGGGCCCAGTGCACTGCTTTGCCTGAGGGCCTATATGCTGTTATGACAACTCTGTACATGGGGGTCCATGTTGGCTACAGAAAGGAAACATCTATAGATATTTAACTAATTTGTTTTGAGTTTTTCCATTTTACAAACATACTAATGTACCATTACAATTTGCCATTGAGTCAACCCCTTACTCACTGAGTCACAAATTTATTAGAATTGCAACTAAACTGAATAAAAGACCAACTAAATTGACATATGCATATGCCATTAATCTAAACCTTTTAATTGAAGGCAGGACAATGGCAGTACTGTATATTGCTCTTAAGATGCCAAGGATTGTTTAAAGTGTACCTCGATTTGCACATGGCTAGACCTTGTTTCGTAACACCCAAACAGCCCTGCAAGTGTCACCTCTAAACTTTGAATCACAAGATTGAGAGACTTGTAATACTTACTGAATTTTTAGTAAAGAGAATATCAAATGTAACAGCTGCTGTACAATTTATTTTAGTTTCAAATGTTTTATAAACACGGCGTTGTCCTGCATCTGGTTCTTTGGTTGGGATCAAGGGCTGATAATCAACAGGGAAAAAAAACTTCCATAAGTGTTCCCTATAATTAAATACATGTTATTAAAACATACATATCTGTTTGATAAATGAACATTGAATCCATCAGACTGAATGAAATGAAATGAAATAGGGGTTTAATGTCCTACTGTTTTGCTCCTAAACTGGGCTAATGAAGACGGGAATACGCCATACAGTGTGCTATGAGGGAAATTTTGCCCAGGCAGCGGCGCTATGGCCTACTCTTATAATGAATTCCAACTGCCAAGGGATCTTTTACGTGCACGTCAATTTGTACATGGGACCTCGGTTTTTCGTCCCATCCGAACGACTGGACAGCTGTCCTTGTCAGGCCCTTCGTCCTGCATCACTGACAAGGGGAAACCAGACTGAATGAACAGTTATGTGTACACCATACAGAAAGGTACACCTTGTAATAAACAGACATAAATAGAAAATTCTGCTAAATACCACATATGAAAAAGTTTTAGAGTTCTATTAAAATATTGAAACAGTTAGACAATAATACATGAATATGTTGTAAATATGTATTATTTAGTTAAAATAGACAATATTGAATTAAATCATTGTAAAAGGAAACTCTACAAGTATCTAAAACATAACTTAACCAACCTAATTAAAAATAGATTACAACTTTGTTTCATTTATTTTTTTCTCATTTTTACACTACATTGTAATCTAAAATACTTTATATCACAACCATGTTCTACCAGTGACAGTTTTATTGATATCAACCAGCCAATGTTCTACCAGTGACAGTTCTATTTATATCAACCTGCCAATGTTCTACCAGTTACAGTTCTATCTATCTGTCATAATATAACCTAAGGCCCATCAGATCCACTATTATAGTCTTGGGTTCTAAAATTCCAATAATTCACCACAAAAATAAGCACTGTATATCAATACAGACAATTTGATTGGTCAATAAGCTCACATGGTCTGAACAGCATTCACAAAGAAACTATGTCCTATGTTAATGTAGTCAAAACATATTGACATCTGGTTGGGGCGTGAAAAGAATATGAAAAAAAAAGGAAAAAATAATAAAGTACCTTTGTCTATCGACCCAGGGACCATAATTAAAATCTGTCTTTTTACCACATTTAATATCAATACCAAGACATGGATAGGTTCGCCTGACAACTACTTCTCCATCTGCCATCTCTACTAGTTCTGGTTCATGTGGTACTAAACCTGGTTCATCCATATAATAATATATATCTACATCATTAGACTGCATGACTACAAAACCTTCACCCATATTTCTTGGTGGTCTGTAACAGAAATCATTTAGATTGATAACAAATCAGAAACATCCACACTACAACTTGAGTATCGTTTAGTTGTGCTGTTGTAGCAGGAGTTTCTGTATTTAATGTTTAGTTTCAAACCATTTTTGGCAAATTGTTCAAATTCATTGCGAATCATCAAAAAACATTGGGTTCCTACTGTTGCGTAGTTTAAAATTGTCCAACTAGATTAGATAAAAAGTGTTGGGTTTACAACTGTTTACTTTCACTAGCACATTTTTGGAATAAGGGTTTGTAAATAACGAGTTATACACTGTTGAAGTGTTGAGATAGTGACCTTGATAACAAATCATAAAGGAGATAGAAATAGGATCAATATCCACTCATCACAAACTAGGTAGGTCAATTTGGGAATAATGGTTGGTTTGTAAATAACGAGTTATACACTGTTGAGACAGTGATTGAAATTGGCAACAACCTAAAACAATGCTACTATTTATTCGTTAAAACATGTAGCATATGTAAACACAAGGTTTATTGAATATTATTAAATTGCAAAGAACATGCATAAAGGAGAACTTTGCCTAGAAATCTACATTCTGGCATAATCTTTTTCTGTATTATAAACATAAGCCATCTTTTATAAACACTACCAAAGTGTACACAGAATCCAATTTCCTGTGTAATACATACATTTTATTTCTGTAGTGAGAGAATTTTGCCAAAGGGGTCCTTTCAGTACACATTTGTTTTGTCTCATCACAGGCATAACCTCTGAAAAGTGAGAAGCGCCTTGAAAAATCCTGATGGTTCTTCTTGGCCATACCCTTAAACTACTGCAGCCCCCCCATAAAGTTTTAAGAATCTAGGAACTATCTTACTCATCCACTAAAGTTCCTCTGTAATTAGGACTAGGTACCATCATAACTTTCATATTCTCTGATTTACACTTGACTACATGCATAAACATATCAAATGGTGTGGATGCTGGTTTCGTTGTATAAACTAAATGGGCTTCTTCAAAACTTGCCAATAGTGTATAAGGTACCAAATAATTTCCAAAAATAAATCTACCCTGGAATTTAAAAAAATGTTTGATTAAAATGTCATCTATTCTATGCAGAATAACAACTCCCAAAAACAAAATGCTTTATAACAATGGATTCAAGGATATTAAACAATTTCTTAAACTTTCAAATTGCAGTATAATTTAGTCAAATATATTGTGTATTCAGTCATATTGTTTATAAAGTTTATTAAATTAAACACTTACAGAATTTATATCTATTTTAATAACGGGTATCAGATCTCTCCAATGAATACCATTTTCTGCTACCTGTATTCTACAAAAAACAAATTTGCACATAATATATGTAGTACAGAACTAGGGTTTTGCCAATCTGATACGGCCAAGGTTCAAATCCACTGTCAATATCCTTATACACACAGGCTTTTACTTTTACTCTACTGGATGTCATGTTTACACTGCCTTACACAGTTAAACCCATCTTAAATCAGATTGTGATATTGTGGGGTATCTGTGCTGTGATTAAAGGAGGAGGTCAAATCAAAGATCAATATGTGAATAAATAGCCTATCAATATCAAGTTTTAATACAAATTATTGAGTTGTTTGGTAATGTCTCCAATACTATTTATAAGAATTATGTAATGCTTTTAGAGACATGATGATCGCAACTATTTGATACCATTTGTAAACTTGCCAAGAGGTAATTTGAACTCACTAGCTGGAAAACATAAAAAAAAGTGCAGCAGAAAGTTGTCAATGCACATGTGTCTGCATTATAGACATGTTCGTCTAAGCAGAAGGTGACTATTAGCCAGGAAGCTCATCTCTAACGCACTTGGATATTGGCATTTCTTTGAAAACCTACGACAGAGTTTAAGATTTTTGCTTAGGGTTAGAATAAAAGGTACTAAGAGCTTTCACACAGAATTGACCAGTTATATTCACTGAAACGTATCTAGGATTTCACCTTTAAAATAACAGATGGTCATAATTCAGACCTCTAATAGCCTATTATTTATTAAAATGGACATAAAGCCTGAACCATAACACAAGTTTTAAGAACAAGGATCCAAACCAGTGATGGGATTTCGCCCGTATATTTTGCACATGTCTGACGCTATTTTCTAAACGTCCTAAATTGTCCGACCAGGAATATGCCCATTCTGTAACATCTATATGTCATTTAAATCTAAAAACATATAAAGACTAAATACCGGTTTTGAACTGGTTCTTCAACATCACATTCGGGAACCATTGTTGGTTTCAAACCAAAGAATTTTTCTAGCTGAGCATAATTTGCAGATCTGTTATACACATGAAATTCTAGACCATCAATGAATAGAGACATCCTAGTTTCAGAATGGGACATATCTACAAAAAAAAAACAATAAAAATTTCAACATGACACTATAGTCTGTTTGGTTTGGATTCACACATGTTTAAAGATGCCTTCCTGTGTACAAATTGTGTGATTTGATGATATGTTTGGACTAAAAATATACTCAAACTAAAAGTTTGCTTCAAATCCCTCTCAAAACATTTTAATTGGCAAAAAGTACCCCAATCTGTTTAAGCAATCTTGTTTATCATGTGACTTAACTGGGTAAGAATTCAACTTTGGCTTGTATTAGTCGTTAATCGCTGTCTATTTACCATAATATCAAAGCCTAAGTAATTTGTTGCATTATCAACTGCTGACATCTTTCTCTGCAGTTTAATTGCTGAGTCTATTAGACGTTTACAGTTTTGTCTTGTGCGCGCCCAATAGATGTTTTTTAGGGAATCCAGTATTTTTCTAGTAAGACTGGGTGTCTCTACTTTTCATATACATGTACACCAAAATTGCCATAATTTTATTGGAAATAACTACCTGTGTACCTGATAAATACTTTCATAAGAAATTTGATTGACAAGTTAGCTTAATTGATGACGTCTATTTCATGCTGTCAAACTTTGTACCTTCACAGAATAGACACAAATGTAGGTCCAATATCTGATTGGATGAATTAAGAGTCGGCTAAGATTCTAATTACATGTAATAGAAAATTTGAACAAATTATACCTTCATTTATCTCTTTATAAACATAAGGTCTCCACCATCTAAATATAATCCAGCCATATTGTATTCTTAAAGAATAATCTTCAGTTATAATATGAAAATCTCTAAACATAACTTTACCCGATAAAACTGAGAAAGAGAAAGATCCTGAAAAAAATAAACAAAAATTACAATTCCAAATCTAATTATCAGGGATGTTGGAATTTTCTAATTTACATTATATGATGAAGGAAAAGCAAATGTCACAGAAATCATAGCACAGGTGAAAATGAATTGAAGTGGGGTTGAATGTCTCACTGTAAACGCAGTATGATATGAGGTAAATTTTGCCTGGACAGTGATGCTACTCTAATACAAGGGTTTTAACACGTACACAACCAGCGGATGCCATACAAGATATGCCCACATTTAGCAAGAGAAGGACAGAAAACAAGCTAAAAAAATGTGATTTTTTGTACAATCAGGGGCCATAATCCACAAAGTTACGGTCCAATATCCACGAATATTGAAAGGCACCCAGATATTTTGGATATAAACATATATACTTTTAAGTTTCAGGAAAGATTGGATAAAAATTGTGACTTCTAGAGCATCCACAACCTTGATATTACATACTTTTACATTATTTGTGTACAAGTAGCAGCCATTTTGTGCAGCAGTTTTGGTCCGATTTTCACAAAATTCAAACTCAACCAGCATTAGGGTGTAACGGTGATATGTTTAAATGTTCTGTTAAATAGGATAAAAATTGTGACCTCTAGAGGGACCACAAGCTAAAAATGTGATTTTTCATACAATCAGGGGCCATAATTCAGGTAGTTACGATTCGATATGTGCAAATATCAAAAAGAACCAAGATCTTTTGGTTATAAACATACATTTCAAGTTCCATCAAAATCAGACAAAAATTGTAACCCCTGTTCCTCAGAGTGTCCAATCCCCAAAGGCCATGCTCTTTAAGTGCCAATATAGCCATGCCTGTATACTTGCTGAAGCCATACTGGTAAGCTCTAGGGGGATCACGTGGCTAAGTGGGTAAGACGCTAGCTCGCTAGCCTGGAGGTCGGGTGTTCGATCCCTGCATTGGCCGAGAAAGTTCATCCAGATTTTCCGCCGTGGTTCTCCCTTGTCAATGATGCAGGACAGAGGGGCTGACAAGGAAAGCTGTCTAGTCGTTCGGATGGGATGAAAAACCGAGGTCCCGTGTACACATTGGCGTGCACGTTAAAGATCCCTTGGCAGTTGGAATTCGATATAAGAGTAGGCCGTAGTGCCGCTGTCCGGACAAAATTTCCCTCATAGCACACTGTATGGCGTATGCCCGTCTTCATTAGCCCAGGTTAGGAGCAGAAAAGTAGGACGTTAAACTCCATTTCATTTCATTTTCACGGTAAGCTCTAGGCAATTGTAGTGATTATCAAGTCACTCAAATAATTGAAGACTAAAATTTCTTATATGAATGGGTTACCTAACCAAGTTAAGCAAATCTAGCAATTATTTCTGAATGGCTCAATATTGTGATTTGAAATTTTCAGACACAGTAAATAAGCCATACTGTCATATTGTGATTTGAAATTTTCAGACACAGTAAACAAGCTATACCGTCATAGTTTGCCATTTGATTTACATACTTCAACCCTTTATACTTTTATTTATAAAACTGCCTTTGCAATATTTTTATTTAGTCTACTATGGAATGTAATTTAGTGACTTAATAATTAACTTTCTGTAAAAAAAAAATCATATTTTAAGCCATGAAACTTACCAAACTTTATATGGCCAAGATATCTAAGAAATTTATTGAGAACTGCTCCTATTATAATGCCCATAACCCTGGAATGGTAGTAGGTGAGATAAATAGTCCAAGCCATAGCTATCAACATAGCTAATAATAGATAGTATACCGATGATTCAGGTAACTCCTCCTCTATCTGCTCAATAAATGTTTGATTTTGAGTCCTCATCCTGAAGTAAATATTAGTATGGTATTCACTATCATAATTGAGTAAATTACAAATAAAATAAACTTAAACCTACAAGAATATCACTGATAGTACAAATAAAAAAATTACTTTGAATCTAACTCTATTTTTTTTAAAGAAGTAGGTATACAACCATCTTTCAGGGAATGTGTACAAAAAATTATAAAGGCAATCTCAATATAAATATTGGGCTACAATATTTGTTTAGAATATTCAATTTACCTTAATTTAATAGCCATTTATTTTCCAGTAAATTCAAAATACCAGCTGAATAAGCATGCTTCTTATTTCCATGTTTATTTACCCTTAAAATGAAATAAATTTAATAATAAAGCATGTGCTATAATATTCTATGACTTTACATATAATAAAATAAATAATTTTCTCAATAGCACAAAAAGACAGTTACTAAACGGCACTTTTTGTGAGACCATAGCCTAAAAATCTAAACTTTATGATAAAAAAGAGAAAATAAACATTTGAACTTGAAAAGTGCTGTATGTGCCAACTGAGGGAAATTTTGCCTGTACAGCAATCAAATTCCAACTGTCTAGGGGCCTTGATTTTTTTGCCCATCCAAATAACTAGACAATGTTCGGTCATGCCCTCTGTCCTGCACACCTAACCAGAGGGAAACCATACTGGAAAATCTTGGGGAACTTTCTCAGTCAACACCATGACAAAACTCTGCATTTATCAGACCACATTCCATTCTAGTCTTATCAACTTATAAATTTATGGGCCATGTCAATTCTTACAGAGTTTGTCAGTCCAAAAGTTTTGATAGCTAAAATGATTAGAATTATAAACACACATATAGTCCCATACTATTATAAAATAATGTGGCTATAATGTAACATGTCAATGTCTCAAAAAATAATATTCACACCACAGTCTCAATAGTACCATCGCCTACTGTTAACCATTAAATTATCCCAATGTTGAAAGATACACTTTAGCATTGATATATATCCATTTAACGGTAAACTTCTGGCATGCAATTATGATACACATAATAATAGCTAAATGTAATGAACTGTTCCCCAACCTTAATCCACACTGCAGTGGGTAGGATTACATGACATTTCGGTCCCGTAATATTTCGGACTTACAACCTTTTGGACTCAAAAAAATATGGCAACGACATTTCGGAGTCGGGGAGGTGACATTTTGAACTCAAGAATAAGTTGTAAGGAAACGTTGAACACAACTGTCAAATCACTTTATAATAAGCTAAAAACAATTTTATGAAAATAACATGCAGGTAAAATTTACCATGAATATTAACATGAAACATGTGATTATTAAAAGGCTCTACCAAAGGATACCCAACGGTTCCTTGATAATCATCATTTCCCGTAAAAGTAATATATATTTTTTTTAAAAAGTCATATACTGATGAATATATATTTGAAAATGACCTACTCAAAAACAAAAGCAAATCTTAAATTAGTGCATACAAAGAAAAATGTTTTTAAAAAATATTAGAAACTAGCAGGATACCAGGCTTCGCTCGGGGGTCATAACTCCGAAACCGGAAGTGGTAGACTAACGCCACCTGGCCTATGTTACTCCCCGGTCCGAGCTACCCCTATACCCCAAATTTCAGAATCGGGGCAGATCGAGTGTAGCCGCCAACCCCGAACAGACCGGCTTCGCTCGGGGGTCATAACTCCGAAACCGGAAGTGGTAGACTTAAGCCACCTGGCCTATGTTACTCCCCGGTCCGAGCTTCCCCTATACCCCAAATTTCAGACTCGGGGCAGACCTAGTGTAGCCGCCAACCCCGAACAGACAGACAGACAGACAAACGACAGTCACAAATATATATATAGATAGATAGATGGCGAGGATCAAAGCGGGATAATTAAAGTTGATTAAACGATAATCCCAATGTTAGCAGTGTTAAAGTAGCTAAGTCTGTATCAAATATCATCCAAAATCTTCAACATTGAAAACACGATTTTTTTTTTCAATTTAAATCAGCATTGGTGTTGTGATCTTACCTGGAAAAGATGGGCTTCTGATAGACAATATTTAAGACAAAATAAACATTTTGCCGTTGCGTTTCAGCGCAATTTGTAACAAGGTGCTCAAAGAATGAGGTTAGACATATTCCACAAGTCATGTCAAACGGTGATATCATATTCTTATTTGGAGAGCATGCACAATAAATAATATCGGTGTTGACTGGAATAACCAGACGCTAGTAACTGACTTCGGTTGAGACTTCTGGCGTATTTCGCCGAACATAACTGATGGCAATTCACAGTAAAAGGACACGATTGAATGTAAACAGTTGATATAAATTCATATTACATTATTATGTGTGTTGCGACTTATTTGTGCCAATTTCTAGGTCCAAAATATTAGCGATTTAAATTAGCTCCTTTAAACTTCTATTAGCAATCTGAACAATCGCAGGTAAATTAAAAAAAAAAAAGAGAACTGACAACATTATATTTCTTTATTATTGTTAATAAACTCAACTGTCATCAGACTCACATAAAACGAAAAAAAAATCTAACTTTAGTTTGCATGTAGGCTTATATACACACAAATTTTCAACAGTCTTTCATTTACTCATCTAACTTCTAAGTCTGAAAAGTCGTCACAAGTAAGTCCGAACCGTCGGAAAGGTCGCGGGGCCAAAATGTCGTGCTACCGTGGGTAAGATAAGATAAGATATTGTATATGACAGACTAGTTACTTTAGTAACGAAAATATGAGAGCCCTACCTGCTCTCTTCATATTTTCGTTACAATACTAATGTAACCAATGACAGACTATCTCTACGGACCAGTGAAGTGTAAATTTATCACTTTTTTTTTCAGAAATTCCCTTCAGTCACAGTGGGTGGAAGAGGAAGGGGATATTTATTTAAATGCCTCGGTGCACATCAATAAAATACAAACCCTGAATGCAATTATCAATGGTTAAAGTAGTATTATTTGCTCTTGCAATACTTTTTCCAACAAAAAAAAAACGTATAAAATTTAACACTTTAACATTGCAGACATTTTTACATGGGAGATAACTCTGTTATAAAATATTGGAATAAAAAAATATACGTAAAACGAAGGGATATAAAATTTAGAATATGTAGAAATAGGCAATGCTATACATCTTATAATTCATTAAACGTTGTCTTTCATTAAATAAAAAGGTTTACATAATAGTGTATGCATGGATCACAAAAATATATAACATACTGTTCGATACTGTTTCGTTTGTATTTTATTTTAAATTCATAAATTATGATAACGTCATGAACGTCTTCAAAAATTAGAGGTCCTATCATAAATTATGTTTTTAGTCTACACAAGACTATATTTTAAACATGTTTCTGTTATAGTGAAAGAAAATACATAAGATCTAATTCGTACCACGTTAAGCAAAACTAGGAATAGGTCGGTAAATCTGATAATGAAATAACTGAGTATAATATAATTATTTTAAAAAGTAGGCCCTACCGCCACTACCGAAACGCCACGGTACACAACTATTATTCGAAAATGTTGCAACACAAACTGTGACAAAGTATAAACTTGTTGTTAGCTTAACAGAGCACAGCTGGACATGGTAAAATAAATTTATCATTGTAATGTAAGGATTCAGTTTTCTTACATAAATCGCGGTTGTACGTGAGGCAACGGGTGGGGTGGTGGTCGGGTGGTACGTCTTTAACGTGTGCACTGTCACCGAGATCATCCATGGTCTGTCATTGACTGATTGAGTTCAAATGGTGTGTCAAATTCCCATCTCACTCTCTGCTTCAGACAGCAATCCGAAACAATTTGCTTGTACAAGTTGTAGTAATAAATATAGTTATAGTGATGTATGCTAATAAGTATTTGATTTGTATTGTATTTTTTTCATTATTTTTTAAAAAATTAATACCGGTACAGTATTTGTTTTGATTAATCAAAAGCCTATGGCTACAGACAGGTTTGTTTTTCTTTCTTTCTCTGGATGAGGTTTAATTAAAATACATAGTTTGTACTACTTTATTGTTATCCATATTTATTTAGTCAACGCACAACTATATTTCAGATTAAAGCTATATACAGTACCATGGGTGCTGGAACTAGTTCTAGATTATTAATGATGAAAATAAAAGATCACAAGGTTAATGAAATATTTTACCCGAATAAACCTTATGTTCACAGCCCTGAGCACTGGAGAGCTGAACCAGGAGGTTTGATAGTAGAACTACAAGCTTTACCAAGATTATTTTGTAAGTTGCAAATTAAAAAAAAACCCACGTCATTATTTGTTTACAGTAATATTTTATGAGTGTCTTTTTATATGCACACATATTATTCTGTCATGTTGTCCATTAGTCTGTCTGTCCATCCATCCTTCTGCCAACTGGCCAGTTGTAGGTGACAATGAGTAGGGTCGCCTGTCCCACCTCGTGGTTTTTTTTCCGGGTCCTCCAGTTTCCCCCCACTGCTAACCCTATGCGCATGCGAATTATTGAAATAAAATTGAACCACATATTAGTCCCAAAATGACCTAGTTTATGTCGATTGGACGTTAAACCCTATTTCTCTCTCTCTCTGTCAAAAAGACAAACCCCATCATTATGAATATGATTGCTACTGTTTTAACCGGATTTGTTCAAGCTTGTGAACACAACAGAGATCAGATTTCTTGAAGGCATCAAATTTGGTCAACATTATATATAAGTTTTCTTTTATCGAGACATAGCTGCTATGTGGGCATATTTCCACACTTTGCGTGACTATCATTTAAGATGTATAGTATAATTTTAGTTTTTAGCTTAAGTATGAGTACGAATAGGGCATACTGAATTTGTATATTTCATGTCTTTTTTAATGAAAACTTTCAGATAACAATAGATTAGAAACAAACGATGGTTATTGGTATGTAGAGGCATCATTCTTACCATATGATGATTCTAAGTTGGTTGTTTCTGCTTCATGTTATTATCTTTTACCAAATCTAACCGCTGGTACCTCAACTATCTCTGGTATTCCTAGTGGTCGAATATTTATAGTTGATCTAAACAAGTTAAACCATGGTCTAGGTGAGTGTGTTACTTCAGCCATGTTGTTTTGCAGTTTTCCGTTATTATCCTGAGGCCTTAGTTTTGAAAACTTAAAATAAAATATTTTAAGAATTTTGCTCTATTATTGGGCAATAGCTATAATTTGCAGTAAGATTTTATTTAACTCTCAGCCAATGGAATGACTTCATCCTTAACATTCTAGTAAATTTTTCATGACTGAGGCCCCTGCACTGGAAAGTTAAAGGAAGGATATTGAAATGGCTGTCCCGGTTTGTTTTCCAGAACACACATGTATCTCATAAACCATTTGAGATATCTTTATGAATTCTTTATCATAGTTGTATAAATTTGCTGATTTGAAATTTTGCAGATTTAATCATCTTTGTGTTTCCATAGAAACAAAACTGACTTAGTTTTTGGTACCGTATACAATTTTTATTGTCTATCTGCGACTAATATATTATATAATTTATTATCTAGGGGTTTGTCAGTTCAGTCCGAATTTTGCAACAGCTGGAGATATCTTGATACAGGGCACTTTCCTCGTCAGCCCTAGGCATGTCTTATACATAGTTATATACTATTCAAAAAAAGTAGGGGATATTTGATTTTGGGGGCATAATACTAAAATATGCAAATGACTACGAAAAAAGTCACTATAGAACCTAACAGAAGAAACATTTCCAGTTACATGTGACGCCCAAACGCACCACTAGCTACCGCATGGAATGCAGGTGATGCTTGGGATCATCATGGGGGTCCAACCCAAGATTTGCACGACTCTGACTTTGAATGTTACAGTCATTGTGGCATTGAATTCCAGGGTGAAAACATCAGTTTAATTGTTTTAGTGACCAGAAAACAAATTTTGATATGCGTCGGCTTACCCAAAATGAAAGGTTACGTGCCCTTGGCATGCTACAGATCGGCACAACACAGGCGGTTGTGGCGCGGACGATGAATGTTTCTCAGTCTGTCATAAGCAGGCTATGGTCCAGATACCGTGATACACAATCTGTACAGGACAGACCACGCTCAGGTCGACCAAGGGCGACAACTCAAGCCCAGAATCGATTTATCCGTACCTTGGCCTTGAAAAATCGTGTCATCACAGCAAATCAGATCAGCGCTCGTCTTCAAACAGACACTGGTGTGAGAGTGAGTGGCCAGACGATTCGGAATCGACTGCATAGGGGTCACCTTCGCGCCCGACGTCCTCGCGTGATCCCTTGTTTGAGAGATCATCACATTCAGGCAAGACGTCGTTGGTGTAGGGATCGTCAACACTGGGATAATCGACGCTGGAGCAATGTGATGTTTTCAGATGAGTCAAGGTTCACTGTTGATTTTTTGGACAGACATGATCGATTTGGGGGTGGTTCTGTTATGGTGTGGGGAGGCATCACTGTTGCTGGAAGAACGGCTTTACATGTTGTTGCAGGGCGTGTTACAGGCCAGTACTACCGGGACAACATCTTGGCAGTCCATGTTGTGCCGTTCGCACGACGTCATGGCCGCCGTTTCATCTTCCAGGATGACAACGCAAGATGTCACAGGGCCAGGATCGTTACAGGTTACCTCCAACAACAGAACATCACCACATTACCTTGGCCAGCACTGAGTCCCGACCTCTCCCCCATCGAGCATGTCTGGGACATGCTTGGACAGAGGTTACGTCAACGTCAACAACGTCCTGCCAATGTCCAAGAACTTGCTGCTGCGTTGCAACAGGAATGGGACAATCTGGACCAAAATGACCTTAGACGTCTCATTAGGAGTATGCCACGTCGGATCAATGCTTGTTTGGCAAACAGAGGAGGATTTACCCATTACTGACTTGGTTGTGATGCTGTGGTAACTTTGCTGTTTGACCCCGGGTATCATTTTACCCTTATAATGGTCAGTCTGTGCCTTACTTAGTCTAACGATCATTTGGAATAAATCGATGAATGTGAACTTCATTTCATTTTGTCATTTGTTTCTTCGTCAGTTTCATTAGGTGACTTTAATAACACTTAAAAATCAAATATCCCCTACTTTTTTTGAATAGTATATTAGTCACTGAAAAATATATTGATGTATACTTGAAAAATAGAGTACATTGTAGTTAAACAAACTGTTTTCTTTCAGGATATTTTAAGTTGAAAGGGACATCAACATCTAAGAAACCAAAGTTGTCTATTCACCCATCTGGAGATTTTATTGGGTATATTGGTACAGGAGAAGTGAATTTAATAACATTAGACTCCATTCAGGTTTATTCTAAACAAAAAGATATCAGCAATGCAGCATTCCATTGCTTTGCTATTGCTCCAAATGGAATATTCATTGCAATAATGACAAGGAATTTAGGCAGATATGAACTTCAGCTATCGAAATTAACATTTGGAGAATTTCGAAAAAAAAGTGTGTTTTGTCACCATATATGCCCTTCCTTTATAAATCAAAGAGGACAGTACACAGATAGTGTTGACTTTAAATGGTCACCAGATAGTAAATATCTGGCCATTAGTAATAATCAGGGTGTTTTATTCATACTTCAGGTGTTAAGTATGAGAAATTTATGTACTGTGTTTGAAGATGTTATTGAAGGACAGTTGGCCAGTAATACAGGCTACGATTTTGATCCACAGTATGAACACTCTATAATGGCTGTTGCCACATCAGAGGTCAAAGTTCATATTATAAATTTCCTAACAGGAATGACTCTTTGCACTTTGAACCCATGTGAAGATGAGTCTGAAAATGATATGATTGACTGTATCAAGTTCAATCCAGACGGACAATCAATAGCTGTTGCCCTCCATTCTTTAAAAATTGTTATTATCAGTGTTATTGAAGAAAATATATTACTGTCCATTGATGTGAAGTCATCTTGTCCTCAAACAACCATGGGTCATGATATGAGGGAAAAAAATATTTTATCTCTTGCATACAGTAGTGAGGGACAAAAACTACTTTCATCATGTTGTGATGGTTACGTGAGAATATGGAATGTTGCTAATCAAGTACAGACATTAATGGCATTATGTCGATTAAAGGTTTTGAGTTTGCAAAAGGTCTCTGATGTAAAGAATCTTAAACTCCCGAAAAAAATTAAAAATTATTTACTACACACGCCATGTTTAATTGAATAGTATAACTAATTTTCATTTTGTATTGTAACCATGCAAAATTTGTCATTTTATATGATAATAAACATTTTCTATATCATTTCAAGACTTTTGCAGAAGTTGAGAAAATGATAATCAGAGCTTCTACTTATATTATACTCCCAGCCTTTTTCCTAAATTTAGATCTTAAAGTTTAGTCAAACATTGCTTTTTATAGTTTGATTTTATTTTATCATACTTTTAGAATCTCCTGGTTTATTAAACTTTTATCAATTTCCGTAGCACAAGATGTGGATTTTTTACTATTGTTTAAATATTAAATTATACACATAATATATATATAAATATGAATATAAATTGTCTCACCTGTATTCATGTACTGTTTGTTCTTTATTTTGTTAGACAGTTGGTTGCATATTATAACACAGAGAACCTTGTGTATACATATAACTGTGATTTTGTTCACTGTGATATTTTTTAATGTTATGTTTCTTTTGTCTATTGCAATATTCATACATGTATTTGATTTTTCCAAATATAGCAATAATCTGAATTTATACAAATTTTACATTGATATTATTCTCTGTTTTCAAAATTTGATTAAAATGAGATGTCAATTACATTTGGTTTATTTTCTATATGTCCTACATTAACATTTGACTATTTGCTTTATCAAGAGCATTCTTATCAGCTTATTGACCAAACAAATTGTCTGTATTGGTATAGGCCTAGTTTGGTGGTGAATTATTGGAATTTTAGAACCCAAGACTATAATAGTGGATGGGATGGGCCTTAGGTTATATTATGACAGATAGATAGAACTGTCACTGGTAGAACATTGGCAGGTTGATATAAATAGAACTGTCACTGGTAGAACATTGGCTGGTTGATATCAATAAAACTGTCACTGGTAGAACATGGTTGTGATATAAAGTATTTTAAATTACAATGTAGTGTAACAAGCCAACAGTGAGGCTGATGTCCCATGCCAAAATCCCAAAATAAATAGATGACACATATTAATTAATCGCACATTTATTTTTTTTCAAAAGTATCGAGCAATCAAACTATACACTAAGTTTCAGCACTCACTATCAGATAGAATCAAAATTATCTTGTCCCAGTTCATCCAGATTTTCTGGCGTGGTTTCCCCTTGTCAGTGATGCAGGACGGAGTGCCTGACAAGGACAGCTGTCTAGTCGTTTGGATGGGACGGAAAACCGAGGTCCCGTGTACACATTAGCGTGCACGTAAAAGATCCCTTGGCAGTTGGAATTCGATATAAGAGTAGGCCGTAGCGCCGCTGCCCAGGCAAAAATTTCCCTCATAGCACACTGTATGGCATATGCCCGTCTTCATTAGCCCAGGTTAGGAGCAGAACAAACCCCATTTCATTTCATTTCATTTATCTTGTCCCAAAGCATCCACCAATGAAATTGATTAGCTATGCGTAGCTTCAGCTCGAAATGTTAATCATTGAACTCCGTCATGACATGAAAGCAGAAAATGTTGATTATCGAACTTAGTCAAGGTATTGATGTAATAAAGCTATACACAAAGTTTCATCACTCTCACTTAATTAGAACTAAAGTTATCGTGTCCCCAAGCATCAACCAATCAAATTGCTTATCTCTGCTTACCCTAAGCAAAAAATGCTCATCTTCGAACGGGGGATCACGTGGCTAAGTGGGTAAGAACTTGGCTCGCTAGCCTGGAGGTCGGGTGTTTGATCCCTGCATTGACTGAAAAAGTTCATCCAGATTTTCCGGCGTGGTTTCCCCTCGTCAGTGATGCAGGACGGAGGGCCTGACAAGGACAGCTGTCTAGTTGTTCAGATGGAACAAAAAACCGAGGTCCCATGTACATATTGGCCTTGCATGTAAAAGATCCCTTGGCAGTTGGAATTCGATATAAGAGTAGGCCATAGCGCCGCTGCCTGGGCAAAATTTCCCTCATAGCACACGGTATGCCGTATGCCCATCTTCATTAGCCCAGTTTAGGAGCAGAACAGTAGGACGTTAAACCACATTTCATTTCATTTCATCTTCGAACTCCACCAAGGCATTGGCCTAATAAACACCTACACTAAGTCTGAACATTCTAGCTCAATTAGAAAGAGAGTTATTGTGTCCCAAAAAGTGTGACAGACGGACGAACTCATTTCAATAGTCCCCTGGTTTCTTCAAAAGGCGGAGGACAAAAAAGTTTGATAATGAGCATTTTCTGCTCGGGGTAAGCAGAGCGATAAGCAATTTGATTGGCTGAGAAATTAGAACACAATAAGTCTCTTTCTAATTGAGCTAGAATGTTCCAACTTGATGTAGGTGTTTATTAGGTCTCTTTCTAATTCAGCTAGAATGTTCCAACTTGATGTAGGTGTTTATTAGGTCAATACCTGTTTAGGGTAAGCAGAGATAAGCAATTTGATTGGTTGGTGCTTTGAGACACGATAACTTTAGTTCTAATTAAGTGACAGTGATGACATTTGGTGTATAGTTTTATTACATCAATACCTTGACTAAGTTCGATAATCAACATTTTCTGCTCAGGGTAAGCAAAGCAATAAGCAATTTGATTGGTCGAGACTTTGGAACACAATATAACTCTCATTCTAATTTAGCTAGAATGTTCAAACTTGGTGTAGGTGTTTATTAGGTGAATGCCTTGGAGCTCGGTGATAAACATTGTCTACTTACGGTAAGCAAAGCTGCGATAAGCAATCTGATTGGTTGATGCTTTGGGGCACGATAACGTTGGTTATATTTAAGTGATAGTGATGAAACTCTGAGTATAGATTCATCATATCATTACCTTGACTAAGTTCGATAATTAGAATTTTCTGCTTAGGCTAAGGAGCGATAAGCAATTTGATTGGTCAAGACTTTGGAACACAACAACTCTGCTTTTAATTGAGGTAGAATGTTTTAACTTGACGAAGATGTTCATTAGGTGAATGTCTTGACTGAGTTCAGTGGTTAAGCAGAGTTAAGCAATTTCATTGGTGGATGCTTTGGGACAAGCTAACTTTGATTCTATCTGATAGAGAGTGATGAAACGTAGTGTATATTTGATAAGCAGTTTGATTCCTTGATACTTTTAAAAAAAAATAAATGTGCCACTAATTAATATGTGTCATCTATTTATTTTGGGATTTCGCCGGGGGACATCAGCCTCACTGTTGGCATGTTTTTTATTAATATGAAATCACATAATAATTTTTTTTTTTATTACTGTTTATATACATGTAAGCATAAAAACTAGAAGTATAACTAAAAAGATTACAAACATAATAAAAATAACCATAAAAACAAAACTACAAAAGCAATAACAATGATACAGAAAACATCTGAAAGGAAGATCACAAATTTTGCAAGATACTTTTAATTGAGGTAGAATGTTTTAACTTGATGAAGATGTTCATTAGGTGAATGTCTTGACTGAGTTCAGTGGTTAACATTTCAAGCTAAAGCTAAGCAGAGTTAAGCAATTTCATTGGTGGATGCTTTGGGACAAGCTAACTTTGATTCTATCTGATAGAGAGTGATGAAACGTATGTATATTTGATAATCAGTTTGATTCCTTGATACTTTTTAAAAAAATAAATGTGCGACTAATTAATATATGTCATCGATTGGATTTCGGCGGGGGACATCAGCCTCACTGTTGGCATGTTTTTTATTAATATGAAATCACATAATAATTTTTTTTTTATTACTGCTAATATGTAAGCATAAAAACTAAAAGTATAACTAAAAAGATTACAAACATAATAAATATAACCATAAAAACAAAACTACAAAAGCAATAACAATGATACAGGAAACATCTGAAAGGAAGATCACAAATTTTACAAGACAATGTAAATTCACGTAAAATGCAAATATGTAACAATACACCTAGTCTGAAAATTTCAAATAAAAACCTGATCTGTTACGTAACTTATTCTAAAGAATATAATTCTACAATTTTGTAAATGATTTGATAATTCCTTACCACTATAACTACGGAAAATAAAAAAGTTATGTATGCACTTACACAGCATGGACGTTGGGGACTGAATGTTTGTATTTCTTAGAAAAATTATCAGTGCTTCAGATAAAGGTTTGCAAGCTTCTTCCACCCAATTAATCAGTATCATTCACTAAAGTATATCTAGGACAACTGTTTTAACAATAATATAACTGGATAATGTGTTTTAGTATTGTGTGATGGTGTTTTGGCCAGTAATATAAACACACCTATTCTATAGATGTGGTGAGCAAACTGACAATAGTCCCTAATCATTAGAAACTAAAAAAAGCATAACTAAAAAGATTACAAACATAAATGCTGATGATTATTTAAAAAATTCTAATTATTCAGAACTAGTCAAAAAAATTTCATATTTTGAACAATGCTTTTTTCGATGTATATACAATAAATATGTCTATTCAAATGTGATACATGGATATTGATGAACCTAAACGATTAAGCATAAATAACTAAGCTACGATCTGGTGAATACTTAAGGGAGGAGATCAAAATCCAACCCATGAATAACAAATCCTACATAGGATACTGTATACTACTATTAATTAGTACATATAATGTTAAGGATAAGAATTCAAAGCTACCAATTAGAAATAACTAAAATACCATACATCTATATTCCGAAAGACAACAAGTTTATTACAAAGGAGTTTAATAAGCATGGGATACTTCTTGCAGAGTTTCTATGCTGAGTTCACTAATTTAAACAATAAGCTTACAAGCTTACATTATTTAACTGATGTACCATATATGCTTGGATTGATTAGAACTATCATTGTCTTCAAATTAAAACGATTCACTTCAACACTGGAGAAACCTATTTTTTTGATAGTTGAAACTATCTCTCTGTTAATATTACAGTTATCAGCTGCTGCTTTCCACAGTGGGTTTAAATGATTCTGAAACCATCGAAGCCAGGAAGAAGAAGGTTCATCAGCAACATGATCCATAAAGTAAAATTTTCCACCCTGAAAATTATGAATATGATAATAATACAGTAATTTTAGAATACCGGTACTTGGTTGTCTTTACTGGTACATCATGCCCAAATGCAGCTAATTCACAACTGATTGACCTCAGACAAATAAATTTTAAAATACATTAACTGCAATAAACTTGTACCAATTATAAAGAATTCAATGTAATCAACATTGGAAATAAGCCTAGTTTTATTTTAAGCAGGTTTTTATGGGTCATCCTCAAGAGGCTGGTCATCCATGACATCATTACTTTTTCTCTCATCAAAACTTTCTCATCTTATTATCATGTAACTTCATATGATCATCTATATTGTCATGTATGATATGTCTCTTGGAAGAATAAATAAATAAATAAATAAAAACAGCTTCAGAGGACTCTGTTAGTCTGTTTAAAATATTCAATGTGAAAGACAAAAATTGTTGAATTTTTCAATACAAATGCAGTAGGGTATTTTGGGTGTTGATTATCTGCACAAATTGCTACATGAAGTTGCGGATATTTATATTGACATGGCAATCTAAAAATACCAATTATTCATTTTATAATGATAAACATTTCCTTGCTGGTTTAAAGGCCTACCATTTAGAGACCTAAATTATGAAACAGTTTTC